GGTGGCCGGTCTGTGGGGGTGGCCAGTCTTTGGGTGACGGACGTTAGATCCAATTGCAATTACAGGTCAGTCAGCACGGGTTTTAGCTTCGGGTCTAGCACTAGCACCCTATTGTAGCAGCTAACAGCCCTAGGATATGGGGCATCGCTGATTCAAGCATGGCACGCCATGAGTAACGGGCCCGGTAGTGGCATGTGGATGTGCATGTGGATGTAAGAGCCTCCAAGGGCGCAAAGTCCGAGTGATTGGTTTCGTCATAACTTTTGATGTCTCTCAGAAATGTCTTTCAGAATGTCTTCAAAAACTGGTACAGGGTTTTACTGAAGTGTTATGTGTCAAGTTGATCAATTACACTCAGCCACGAAGACAGTACCACGTCAAAGAAGACGCCACAGACACACATCCAAGGCCAAGGCCTTATTGCCGTCAGACGTTCAGGTCCCAAGCTTGGCCTCACCCAGAAGCGCCCAAACAAGCAAGGGATGGCTGCCGTTTGCCGTCTGGGCATCCCTCTACGTACCGTCAGAAGTACCAGATACGTCAACTGGTGATACAAATTTAGACAATGCGTTAATTCCGTGACATCAGCAGGGTCGCTATAGATTTTCACAGAGTCAGGGCTCACTTCAGACTCTCCCCCGGATGCGCGGGGCCGCACGGGGCTGGTGATTGGAGTTCGGTGGAGATGCTCCGGAATTGGCTTGATAATGCAGCCAAGACCAATGACATATCCTAAACCCATCGGCGATTGACGACTATCAAACTGTTGACCTTGTGTCCGTTTTATAACCTGTATTTCTGAATATTATTTCATCCAAGACTCTGCAGTGACCTACCTATTGATGGTGAGTAGGGTAAAGTCAGGGGCTGATGACCAGGTTTGTTTACGAGAGATTGTCGGTGACTGACCTGACGTCAATCCAGATGAAATGAAATGAAATGAAATGGCAAACGGAATTTGCGGTTGATTACGGTAGCTAGCCAAATCAAGAGAACATTCTCGTATCTACTCTGTCGTGGTTAATAATTCTAGACTCTCGTCTCTTCTCTTTTTCCTTCTAAAAACAGACCCCACTTAGTCGTTCCGCTCCCGCATTGACCACTAAAATGACCCAGCTTAGCGGGAGACACTACGTCATAAGCATCAACTCTCCAACTCACGTCACCTAAACAACTTTGGTTGGTTCTGACCAGGTTTTACAGTTTTAGTCTTGTCTTTCTTGTCGTGTGTTGCTTGCTTATCGCTTAATTCACATTCACATAATCAATCACTCAAAATCACCTCAGTCAGTGGGTGATTTGATTACTACTGTTTGATAACCTGCTTTTCCACTTTCGTAGGCAAGACACGTACTACTAATGACGGTCAACAACTTCAAACTGCTTACCCCCCATCAAACCACAAACCTACCTTAGACGCTATCAAACCTCACGCACGCACGCACATCAGCAAACTATCATTCTTTTTATTCCTTCTGATCAGCAATTTTGAGCCAATCCTTGTTCTTACTACGTCTCCCACCGCGCTTACAGAATACCGTACTGTACCATTATTGTACTGTACTGCATACTGAGTCAACCACGTGTTGCACACAAATCTCTCCACCGCTTCTCCGTAACAGCCGGGTCTCGTCTTGGCTTGACTTTGACTTGGGCTTGGATTGTGCTTCCTCACTTTGCAGCCTCTCTTCTCTCTGCCGTCTTTTCCTGACAACCCTTCTCGACCCCTACCATAACCAACCTAGCCCGCTGCAATCTGCAGTCTCACCCAAAAAGCCATAATCTCATAGGCTGGTGTTGGTGTTTGCTGGCTAGGACCCCCTCCCCCCTCCCCTCTTCCAGATACTGTACCTAAATTCACATCTGATATGGAGACTGAATTCACCCCCTCTGAGTCACGACCAACCACCCCGGAACCTCCGGGCTATGTGAATCCTCTCGAGTCCAGCTCTAGATGGTACCTGATCGCTCGTGCCCAAGCCATTCGTTCTGCTGCCAGTCTTGGTTTCAGTATCGCTAATCGTACGGATCCTCCTGCACCCTCGCCAACCAAGGACATTTGGCTCGATGCTACCCTGTCCAAGGCTGATCTTGGCCGCGCCGACCGCGCCAAGACAAAGATCAAGGCCGAAGTATGGATGCCGCCCCGTCCCGCTCTCGGTGCCCGGGCTGCCGTTATAAACTTCCACGGAGGCGGATGGATTCTCGGTCAAGGCACCGACGATGCCCGTTGGGCCGGTGCTATCATGGCTAATCTGGACGCCGTTGTCTTTACTGTCAACTATCGTCTCGCGCCGTCTTGTCCCTTCCCGACTCCCATCGAGGATTGTGTGGATGCAGTTCTTCAAATCAAGCATCGTGCTGCGGAATTCGGCATAGACCCTGATCGTATCATCCTGTCGGGGTTTTCCGCTGGTGCCACAAATGCCCTGGCAAGTTGGCTCATTCTTAACGACCCTGATCGATGGGGTTACAAGTTCCCCATCGAGCCTCCAAAGATTGCCGGAATCACTCTCTACTATCCCCTTCTGGACTGGACCATCTCGCGTCCAGAAAAACGGCTTACATGTTCAAAGCCGGAGTTTACCTTACCCAAGGGTCTAACAGATCTTATCGACGCTTCCTTCATCTACCCAATCATTCCTCGAGAGGAACGTTGCGACCCAAGACTATCCCCAGGTTTGATGCCTGATGAGTTACTCAAGAAGCTTCCTCCCATTCACTTGGTCTTGTGCGAGTATGACATGCTCCTCGCCGAAGGTCTCAAGTTCTCAAATCGTCTCAAGGCTGCTAACAAGCAGTTCACATTACGTATAGTCGAAGGAGAGAGACACGCGTGGGATTGTCCACCACCCATGTCGCCAAAGGAGAGTGTTGCCATTGAGTATCAAGAGGCCGTGGAGACTATGGCCAGTTGGTTTGGGCAGAAGTGCGAGACTGACACTGAATCCATGCGATCAATGAGACTGAAACGGCCGGTTCTCAAGCGACCCAAATACCTCTCCTTCAAAACCTGGTCCGGGAGGTAGTTGCCCCCGGCAGGGTTCTTGATTCTCGTGGGTTCGATTTTGTTGCTTTACTTCGTCCGTTAGTCGTTTCCTTTTTCTTTCATTCTAGCGCGGCGCATAATGCGATTAATGAGACAAGACTTGGCAACATATGAGAAGCAGGGCATTGGTTTGGACATAATTGGTTCTGAGCGAAATAAAATTCATATACTACAGACATAAATAAGACAGATTTCCCGACATAATGATCCAGGAACGGGTGGCAGTGCAAAAATAAGCATCAGGGTCTTGGTTCTTGTGAAGATCATGATCCAGCCACTACCAAGCGTGTAAGCCAACTTAATCCAAGACAAGCATTCCCAGCCCTGTCAAGAGAGACAACCTTCGGCATTTGCTGCTTTCAGTCATTTCCACCCCAGGTGTAAATCAAGACTGGGAACCAGGTACTTCGAGCAACGCAAAAGATACTTGGTAATAGCATCTGGTTTAAGGGTCCCGTCTCCGGAAGCGTCGGAGATGCCAACATTGGCCAGGTCGTAAACATGTGGCATTTCCACAAGCCCACGCCAATTGGTCTATAGATTTACACATGAACTTCATCATAGTGAAAACATGCATCAAGGGACTCTCAGCTTAGACTAGCTTCGCTTTACAAACATTTGCGGGGATCTTTGGTCAGCTGCTTATCTCTGCGTTTATGCACGAATAGTGTGGGACATTTTGTGTTGTAGTCTGAGCTTGTGACTGAGAGGGAGAAAACTGAAACTCATTCGTCGGGGTTTTGTCAATATACCGAGATGCTTTCGCTGTCCGGAGGGCCCGAAGATCCCGGGGGAAATATCGATATCGGCCTCCGGCATCGCGTTTACCCATGACGGAATTATCAGGCGAGCATTTCACGTTCAAATAGATTACAAAATCACGATGTATTTAGCTTTTCAATCAGAATGCCAAGATTAAAAAAATTGTCATCAAGTAACTAACTAGCCAGAATAAGCAGCATCCACCGCCGTCTCACTCAGCGCCATCATCATAAGCTTCAAATTCTTAAACGCCCGTCGCCACACTTTACTAGACCCCAAGATCGGCTTTTATGACTTTCCCATGCCGTCAAACAGACATAGTGTTCGGCCGTTGGGTGGTGTGCTCGGCTCCGAAGTGCCGATGTGGCTCAGGCGAACTGGTATGTGATCATGGCGATCTCTTGGTCGTCATGACACAAAGTGTCAGCCATTTCGTGATGATCTGTGGCGGTTTTGAGAATTTGATGTGGCTTGACGATAAAGCATGAAGTTATGTTTGCTCAATGCCAAGTCTTTGGAACGAGTCATGTTTGAGGTGAAGTGTTGACCGTTGAGAGAATATGTCACTGCCACGGGGTTCATGATTCAATACTCAAGTGTGACTGAGTATTAAATCGGACTTTATGGAATGTTCAAGCCAGTCGAAACTTTATACTAACCTTGCTAATTTGACTGTATGTTTCGCACTCATGAGTTGGCCGAAGCCCACGCTGTAGGTCCAGGGTAAGCATCATCAGAACAACAACAGGAAGATATCAAATGTGTGGTCATGCATGTATATTCGTTTTCGTTATTGTAATCTGAGACTGCAGTTATTACTATCGCAATCTGCCAGACATATTCTGTAGGATAGCTTCTCGATGCTAAAAGCATTCTCATCAATCAAGCCGTTTTCTCCAACACGTGACATATCGTCACCAGCTCTGCCCAAGTCGCAGGCTGATATGCTAACATTTCTCATATATCATGAATTTGTTTACCACTTGGCCTCCTTGCTGTTGATGAACTCCTTGAGGATGGCAACGACCTTGGAGAAGGAAGCGAGATAAGCCTCGAGATCGGCCTGGACCTTCTCAGGGTTGTCACCAAGCTTGGCGTAGAAGTCCTTTCGGTAGGGAACAGCGGACATGGCAGCGCTGAAGATGGGCTTGACCATGAAGCTGTGGTGGGGCTTCAGAGTGTTGCCGTATGCGTCGCGGAAGGAGTCGGAGAGCTCGACGGAGGGGTTTTGGACGTTGTGCTCGAGGCCCTGCTTGGTGAAGTCAAGACCACTGGAGTTGTTAGCTAATGGGATGTATGCTCGGGGAGGGTTGTTCGTACCGGATGAGCCAGAGGCAGCCCTCGGTGGCAGTGTGCTTGCCAGTCTTGAGCTCGTTACGGACAAGGTCCTGGACGGTCGCGGACTCGGCGGGAGCAGCGGCGTGGCGAGCACGGAGCTTCTGTAGGTAGTTGTCAGATTTATTCGATGAAACTACTATACATCGCGGATGCTGTCGCACGATGCAAAGGGGTATGATGTGACGAACCTCGACGTTGCCAAGGATATCCTTCTTGACGGGGCCGAAAGCAACACCGCCAATGGCATCTAAAGGCGCGGTTAGTCGTTGGCTACTTAGCAGAACTTGGAGACAATGCCGTACCGAAGATAGTGGTCAGAGACTCAGAAGCCTCAAGGAACTCAACGGTAGAGACAGCATTGCCGTTGGCCTCATCGACAGGAACGTCGGCGAAGGTTCGCTTGAGCGACTGGACGATGGTACCACCGGGAGGATAGACAGCAGACATGATGATTGATGATGGAGAAGTGAATGAAGAAGAGAATGAGAAAGTGTTTGACGGGAGGAGGAAAGTTAAAAATGATGAGGTGTCGTTGAACGTTGAAGCGGTCAAGCTGAGCTGTCCCTTTGCGGGTAGGTTTAGACAGGGAGCAATACAGGAGGGGTCTAGCTCAGGGGACCTAGTGAGGGGCTCGAGACGGTGAAGGAGGGGCATTCGTACAGTGTAGATAGATAAGATAAAGCTGGTGCATGCAGCTGAAACATTAGATATCAGAACCAGCCAACATTCAACGACGCCTGTGAAGGCTATGGGGGGCTGAAGATATTAATAGGGCTCATACAGAGTCCTCGAAAGGTCATTTATCATCCAAATTCGACGGTATCCAGAGGACCTGCATCGAAGGGTCAAGTGAAAATACTCACACTCCACACTGTGTTCCGGGGCTCGATTTAGTTGTTCCGTCGAGACCGCCTCAAACCCCACAATCTCCCACGTTGATCAGGGCGGAGGACATAGACGAGAGGCTCAATCTATAGTACGACATGGTAAGACTCTCAGTCGAGACTAGAAAAGAAATGGTTCTATGAAGAGAGTGATGCGTGAAACTAATAATGCACTATGGACGTAAGAATCTGCACTGAGATGGAATGTTATTGGATCATTAAAGCCTGCTAAGTATCTATCTTATGTGGTGTTGTGTTAGCTGACGACGCTCAAGGCGGGGCCATATCATGATAGACAAGGCAAGGGTGTCACCATGAACCAAATAACAGTGATTCAAATCATATATACGTTATCATTAAACTATCAACGCCAAAACATTATCCCATAAGTCATCCATTTACGTGTAAATAGATTCAGTCACAGAATTGACCTGCAATCCCCATTCCGCCATCTCAGCATCTTCAAGGAACCGCAAGGGGAACCAAACCAAATGACCCTTGATTTGTGACAGCTTCTCTCTGGCGTCTTCGGGAGGCATGAACTGGTCAAAGATGTGACCAGCTTTGACGCCGCGCGGAGGAAGATATCGATCATAATCGTCGAAAGTCCTGATATGATCGTCTGGATCAGCGTGGAATAAGTGGCGGAATAGCTCGGTGTTCTTGTCTGCCTGGCCTGTCCACTTCTCCCATAGTTCGTCGCTGAGAGGGTCTTCAACAAACTTGTAGCTCTCATCTTGGTCGTAGATGTCGTTGTTGGGGTTGACGCTTGGGGGCATGGCGTTGATGTCCTGCGAAGCATCGTGGGGTTGAGGGGGCAGGAGACCCATGTGCTCACGCCAGAGGTATCGACGGAGGGTTGCTGCGTGATAACCTGCTTCGAAGGGCTTTCCATCCATGGTGCTGGGGATGAGGCGCGTGTCTTCCATGACAACACTGAGCTCACTGTCGTGATCACCCAGTTGACTTCGGTCGTTGAGGTTACTGCTTCCGCAGATGGCAATTCTGTCATCGACCAGCAGTAACTTGCCGTGGATGTAAAGCTCTTCCTGAATCCAGTTCTTGATCTCCGATTCAGGATCGTCCTCGAACCAAGATTCGCCCTTTAGGCCTTCGCCGGTACCAGCCATAGCATGGTGCGCAACAGAAGAGGTTGTGTGAACGACCTCCTTCGGCATGGCAGCCTCGAACTTCTTTCGTGCCTCCATGGTCTTCTTGATATCCTCATCAAGCTCCTTCTGCTTTTTATCGCCACGCATGTGCTCGTCGCCCTCACTATCCTCAGGGTCATATGACCCATGAATACCCTCACCCATAATCTCCTCAGCTTCTGCACGCTGCACCTGTTGGTAGCTGATGCCAGTCTCCTTCTCCGCCTTGACTATGGCAGGCGTCTTGTTAAGACGATCATAAGATCGCAAGTTGAAGAAGAAAATGTACTTCTCAGGGTCTACGCCCACAGCGCGACATTGCCCAAAGATGGAGTGCTCGCCCCGACAAATGGACTTATACTGATAATCCATAATAGCTCGCGTGCCCGTAGCAGCTTGCTCTCTGAGATCTCCAGCAAATCCAGGAATAGCAGGGATGAGAACGATGACGCGGAACTTGCGGCCTTCTTTTGCGGCCCTCACAACAGCATCAACGATTGCACGACCAATAGTGTTCTTGATCGGAGCCTGTTGGTCGCCTGTGGCTGTGATAAAGAACTGGTTCTCGATGTAAACGTAGTGCTGAGCCTTTGAGATGATCTCGATATAAGCGTTCTGAATGGAGTGGTCGGTCAAGATACCGCTGCTCCAGTCGGCGCTTGATCGGACGAGCTGGCAGTTGACCGTGCCTCTATTTTCCAGATTCTTAGTGCTTAGAGGAGTAAGAGGGTGCTTGACGTATTCTCCAACGGGGTGTTTCGGGCGTTGTACGCCAATGAGGTCCTCATCTTCATTCTCCCTCTTCTCCAACACCAACCAGTCGAATCTTTCGTCTCTTTTATATTTATCGCGCTTGACAAAATTCCATCTTAACACAAAGTTCTCAGCTACATCATACACGGTTGGGCCTGCGTTTTAGTTAGAAATTGATGTTTTTGTCTTGAGGTTTGGTGTTTTGAAGTTTGATGTCTGATGCCAACCCACCTTGGATACACATCGCGACATCGTGCCACGGCATACGACCATAGTCTGCCTTGCTTAACTCGTTATCTTGCCAGGAAGACACATTCTGGAAGTCCATAACTCTGTTGTTATTAAAGTCTTGTCCTGGCCAGACTTCATCTTGAACGTTGGTGGGATGAATGTCTGACAGAGGGTGCTGGTGGTTATCCCATCGTCCGAAGCATAAGTCTAGGCCTCCAACGAATGCTATTTCGTAGTCGATGACAATGAACTTCTCATGATGCGCCCAGTACCATGTCATATCGCTGTGAAGTCGTCAGTAGAGGTTTTGGGGGCTGCATGGCGGATGGTTGCCAACTCCCGCGCCCATTGCGAATGAACTCACCCAAAGTTTTCAAAGACATTGTGGTCGGGATGACGAGCAACATGAATGTTTCCATGGCCAGGAGAGCCCTTGGGGCAAAGTCTATCAAAGTAAGCTCATGACGCGCGCAAGTCAATTGCTCAACCCACCTCCTCAGCGCATGCTTGGTATGAGCTGAATTGCAAGTCAAGGCTTGCTCAACTTCCTTATAGACACAAACATAAATCTGGACACCCTCCTCTGCCTTTCTCTTGATCAATTTGTCCAGTCTGTATTCTTGCGCGGCATATGGGGGTCGACGGAGGAACAGCTCTGGTGACAACCACCAGTCGGCGATATAGATGGATTCTTTGGCTTGCTCAAGCGCAATTGACACAGCCCAGAAGTAATCTCGACCATCTACGTACCACTTGACGTGGTTGCCAGCGCGCATTGGGAAGTAAGACTTGAAGCGGTTCTGCTCGGCGATAGAGGTTCGCTTGTCGTCACATCGCTGCTCATGTTCTTCGTCGTGTCTGTGGTTTTTGTTGAACTACGCACATGTAAGTCACTGTTTTCGTCTGCGTCTGTCTTGTCTCATTTCACGGTGCCGATGCGATGCAACAATGCGACACCACCAACAGGGCGCGTCATACCAGATTTGCCAATTTACCAATCTTGTGCCTGAGGACTCGAAATCAGCGACGAATTCTATTGCGATTGGGTACGAGTCACAAACTTTTGGTGGACGAGATGAACTTTGGCATCGTGTAAGCCATCGCTTAACTTGAGCTTGTCCAACATGGAACTCATTGAGCCAGAGCTCTCATGTTTCTTGTGATCCGCCATGATGGACGGCGCGAATCACAGCAAATTCACAGGGGGTCGTCGAATGAGAGACCAAAGCGCTCAGGTCACCTCAGGGTCTCTGCAGGAGATTATCGATCGATCTTGGGGGGGAAGAGAATGAGGGGTGAGATGAGGGGAAGCAAACAATTGGAGGGGCAGTCAGAAAGAAGAGAAGAGAAGAGAAGAGAGGAAGAGGAAATGGAAGAGGCAGAATTACGAGGGTGACAATGCTTTTGGTAGTTTCTCAATGGCAATAGTAATGGCTTGTCATGGTCTTGGCTAAACTGGGCACGCGACAAAGCATCTGGCATGGCCTGGCCAAGCCTTGATCCTGATGCGATGGATGCAGTTGGTGAGACGAGACTTTTTGCAACTGGCGATGTCATCGACCAAGCAGAACCTTCACATCAAAGACAGGAAAACAGTGCCAAGCCGGCGAACACGGCGCGCAAATCTCTTGGGGGTTCTAACAATAGGCCCAGCTCGACTAGGGACCTACGAGGACGACAATTCAGGCGAGCAGGGACTGTCACAGGCCGAGGCCAAGATCGCGGCATCCGTCATGACCCGCACATACACGTAATACTACGCACAGGGCTGAAAGCAGAGGGTCCAATTGACTTGTGCCATTTTCACTATGAAGCTTGTTGGTTTCCGTTCTAATGTCTTTGCCAATTGATCCAGCAGCGACAAGAAAAAGCTTGCTTTGTAACTCTAAAATAAAGAGGCAGGTCAAGCTTTTTCCACTGCACGTACAGGGCACATTAATTGATCCCGGGAGCTATCAGAGCATATGACGTCAGAAGCTGTAGCTTCATCCTGACCGTTACGAATTCCGTAACAATCAGCCTTTGTCCCATGTTTCAAGCTAATTTAATTAATTATTTCCCTGACTACCCTTGTCTTATAGGGCTCTTTAATTGGCATATCGCGTGGTTTCCCTGTAGTGCATTGGCAGCTGCATCTCATATCTGCCAACATTTGAGCTATCCAGGTTTCAGAAGCTTAGCATCGGGTAGTTTGTCCCGAGATGTAGATCACTTCACGACTAGAGCTCAAGACGAGATTTCTCCAGAGAACAATCAATCGTCGGCATCTTGCAATTGGTGTCTGCCATTGGTCTATACTTGTAGTTAATGCGAACCATTCGAGGCACAACTATGTCTCTATGTCTGCGGTATCTAGGATGGTCACTGTATCATGCATAGGTATCATCATATCTTTATCACATCCAATACTGCCCATAAGAAGCACACCTTAACAAATGTCCTGAAAAGGTTCGTCCAAAATTACCATATCAAAGGAATATTAAAAGTTCAGTTTTTTAAAAAGTCAATACTAATATACACCAGGCTCTTCATTGATGCCTCTAATCGAAAACATCAGTAGCAAAACGCTCATTCCTACTCCTTTCAAACCAGGCACGTGCCATTTCTTCAGTAACATCCCTGCCATTCTGCTGAGCCTTCTCGATGGCGAGACGGACACAGACATCTTCAACTGCCTTGCCGATTTCACGACTTCCGCAGATAAATACCTTGGCTCCCTGATCCCACACCTTGAAGACATCCGCGCGATCATGGTAGACACGATCCTGGACATACTTGCATCCCTCAGACTTGTCAGTGGCGCGAGAGTACGCACGTCGCACATCTACAGCACCCATCTTCTCCCAGCGTTCAAACTCCTCAGCGTACAGGTCATCGATCTCAGGGTTTCGACATCCGAAGAATAGAAGAGCTGGTGCGAGAGTTCGACCTGCGGCGAGCATGGCGGCCCGTTCTTGGATGAAACCTCGGAAAGGAGCGAGTCCAGTTCCGGCGGCGACACAGATGATGGGAGTCTTCTCAGCGTCGCTGGGGAGGTGGAAGGCTTCGCTCGAGGCGCGGACTGAGACGTGGAGTTTGTCGCCAGCAGTGAGGTGCGAGAGGAAGTTTGTGGCGACACCGACATGACGACCTTGTCCAGAGAGCGAAGGGGCGTCCAGGAGGGAGTATGTGAGTGTGAGTTTGGAGGGGTCTGCAAAAGGTGAGGAAGAGATGGAGCTGTCTTGTTAGTATGTATAGGCGGTGAAGAGGAAAGGGAGCATACTATTGTCGGACTCTCATGGGAGGGAGCATGGCCAGATAGGAGCTGATAGGGAGAGCAACAGCAGGGAACTTCTCAAGAAGATCCAGAACCGAAACTCTCTTTGGCGAGATCTCAGCTTGGTAAGCATCCCCAGCAAGTCTCTCGAGTTCCTGGATGGTGGCCTTGTCTTCAGTTGCCTCAGCAAGTGCAAGGATGTTCTGCAAATGTTAGTCAAAATCGGATAGCGGCAAAAAGATAACATACCCTCTTTGTAGCAGGTTGTGATAATTCAACATATGCGCTAAATACATCGAAAGCAGAAATGGCGACGTTGGTAGGCAGCGTAGTAGGTCCCTCTGACTGGATCTTCAGGAAAGAATCCCAGGCCAGAGAGAATCGTCGGAACACTCGTGCCACAGTCGACTTCGGGTTCAGGGGAAGAATAGCAAGATAATCGCCGGCCTTGTAGGTCATGGCTGAGGGAAGCTGAATCTCAATATGCTTCTTAGCAGGGCCCGACTTGGTGAGAGTCTTCTCAGCAACCACCAGCGCTTCCTCGACATCTTGACGAAGACTCGTCTTTCGGGGCGTCGAAACCTCGACCAACAGGCCCTTCTGGCCGCCTGACTCCTCATCAGAGATCTTGTATTTCTCCTTCAGGCCTGGCCAGAGGACAGTATCCTCCCAGGCTTCAAAGTCGCTGAACATGTCACTTGTGGCAGCATCTGCACTACCCATGGGAACGAGACGAGTACCGCCACGCTTCTCGAGAGTAGAGTCAACAAGCTTGGGGATTCTGTGGAATGTCTCAACCCAATCGTGATGACCGCACGCAAAGACAGCGTACGACACCTGTTCCATCTCATTACCATTCAAGTCTTCCATCCACTTGATAAAGTGGGCGGCATTGGATGGGGGCTGTCCCTCGTACGATGCAGTGACGATGACAACGGGGCGGTCTTCGGGAAGGTTCTGCTTGGCCTGATCGAGAGGGCCAACTGTTGTTGCGCTGAAGCCGTGGCTAGGAGCATCCGAGGCGAGTCTGTTGGCAAGAGCCTCGCATGTACCACTGTTTGAGCCATAGAAAATAGCCATAGGCTTCCCACTGCCGCCGGCCTTGGTATCTGAATTCGCAGCGGCCTTGATATTGTGGGTTGAAGAGCTGGTAGCTCCATTTCCTGCTAGGACATGCTCTAACTCGGTTGGGGTCATGCCATGTCGTAGGGTAGCGTTGATATAGAAGTGGTCAGGCTTGATGGTCAGTGTCTGCTTGATCTCCAAAGCGTAGTTAGGATCCGTCATGGTGAAATTGAAGTTCTGGAAGAGAACGACCATGGCGAGAAGAGACTCTTGCCAGGCGAAAGGACGTCCGATACAAGCTCGTTTTCCGTTTCCAAAAGGCTTCCAGCAGTTGGGGTACTCCTTGTTGAGCCTCGCGAATTCATCGTCAAGCATCCGCTCAGGAATGAACTTATCAGCATCATTGCCATATACGACCGGGTCAACGTGGCCCCTGGATAGAAGAGCAGTGACGATTTCACCCTTCTTGACGAGATACTTGCCACCGAGGAAAGTGTCGTCGATAGCCTCAAGACCAAATGCAGTAATAGGAGAGTTGAGTCGGAGGGTCTCTCTCAAGACAGCGCTGATGTAAGGGAGCTTGGTGAGGTGCTCAACCAAGACGGGGCCACGACCAACAACCTCGTCGACTTCTTTCTGGACCTTGCTGTAGGCATCGGGGTTCTTCAGAAGCTGGTACATGGCGAAGGATAGAGTACCAGAAGTGGTTTCGTGGCCGGCAATAAGGAATGTGATGAGCTGGTTGGTGATGTTCTCGTCGGACAACTTCTCTCCCGTCTGAGGATCAACACCATTAAGCATAGCAGCGAGCAAATCCTTTCTATCGCTGGGGCTCGCCTTTCGTGCGGCGACGACCTCATCGGCTACTGACTTCATTAGGGCGATGTCGCCATAGAACTTCTCGTTTGCTGCACGATAGAGAAAGTTGGGCGCAAATGGAGGTCGTCGGTTTCTGTTTCCTGACTCGGTGAGGAAATCGCCCATGGCTTCGATAAATGGATGCAATTCCTCCTTGTAATATGAGTTGAAGCGGAAATCCATGGCGCAGAGGGCCAGAGTATCCAGAGCTGAGTATTTTTTAGTGATGGGCACGTTTACAAGACTCAATGTTTTGCGTACCAAGACGGGTAAAGTTGTCGCTGGCATCGATGGGTGTTCGAGGACCATGACGAGCAAACTTCATGCACAATTGAGTAGCGATGTCGTGCATTTCTGGGAACATTCCCCTTATGCTCAAAGGGCCAAAAGCCGGTACCAGAATTCTGTGTGCTTTGCCCCAATTGGGCTCATCCTCGAATGCCGTGAAGAGACCATCGTGAACACCCTCTCGAACTTGCTGTAAAGGGTCAGTGAAGCTCAATTGCCGACGTCATTGTCACGTACGCTGAGAACCGATTTTAGAGTCTTTTTGAAACGCTTCTCGTCGCAAACTTCGTTGATCAATGAATTGGAGGAGACGAAAATGGGAGCCTTGGCTCCAAGACGTAATCTGAAAATGGGGCCTGAGGGGAATCAGCGGCGGTCAATGAGTTGACTGTGGTCAATTAATTACCATATGTATCCGCTAGACGGTTCAGGTCAGAAAGAGGATTTGATGTGAATTCTCCCAGGTTTCCAATGAGAGGATAGCCTGGAGGCTCAGGAATAGGGACAGATTCAGCCATGCTGTCTTTGTGTTGTGTTGTGTTGTGTTGTGTCGCGTCTGGTTTGGTCCGGTGAGGAGAAGGGTGGAGATGTGTTGAATGGGTCGTGGTCGTTTGTTCTTATAAGGTGGTTGAGTAAAATGTGAACAATGTGATATGAGCAGAAGGAGCTGAGCTGAAGTCCGGATTAAACTTGGCGTTGCAGTGGTGGAAAGTTTCTCGACCACCTTTTCTTTGGTTCAAAATAGCAGAACGAATGGAACTGGAAGTGATTAAATAGGGACAAGATTAAAAAGTCGATGGTTACAATACGACACAGACTCCTTTTCTGCTCGCCTCGCAACGTCATAGCAACGCGTCGTATGCAATTGCTGCGGCTTTATTACTAGAGAGGCTCACTCGACCAAGACTAACAAAACCTCCCGTCTCCCGTCCGTCTCCGTTTCTCAAAACCCGGCCCCGTTTGTGCCAAGTGCCGTGAACGTAAGCCAATCGCGGGAGACGCATTAGAGTGGCCAAGAACCTGTTGCAGTTAGGTAGGTAGAATTGCATCTGCAACTGTACAAGAACCCTACAGACGGATCTAGCCATGAACCATAAGTCGTACGTTTATTACATGACATTACGTTGAACTACCTGGATCACTAGAGGATTAGTTCTTAGTGTGCCAGCTGGAGTATTAACTGAAGCTATTTACTCTTTGTTTGTTTCTATTCTGTCTTCTGTCTACTGTCGATCCTAGGCATTATCTCATGCTTTTTTATGCCTCGGCATCTCCATTAAATTCTCGGCCGTATCCGGTGCTCCACTCCTCCCGTACCGGATCCGAAACCCGAGGCGGTGAGACGGCTTGATTTAATCATCCGAATTCCCCTTATTGCGGAGGAATAATGAATGAGTTAATAGCATATAATCCAGGGGATATGCGAAATTGCTACAGAATACGACGCTCACGGGTTCCCCGATTGGTGCTCGCATATATATTTTGTCCTACGGTAGGCGGACAGTCGGCGTGTCGATCACTTCTCCCCACCGTCTTGGCACCTCGAACGGCGTTTATTTACCACCGAAAAGCCCGTTCCTGCAGTATGTAGGTGTTCTTAGGCTGTTTTGTTGAGTGTGCTTCTACGGAGTAACTGCTGCGCCTTGCATGGTCAGCACTAAAGGCTCTCACACTTGACGATGATGGCACCTATCCTACTCTCATAGCAAAAAGCTCAAGCCATCATCAAGAGCAAAAGGATAGGTCTCAGAGGGAGTCGAACCCTCGCTGGCGGAATCAGAATCCGCAGTCATAACCGTTAGACCATGAAACCTCACAATATGACTGCTGATGTCGCTGGCAGCGGCAGCGAAATTTGCCAAAATGGAACTCACGATTCACCAACATCATGTTAGCCCGTAGCTATTATAGTCACAACCGTCGGTACTATGCTCCGTACGGAGTAGTTGGAGAATGGTCATTGTTGCAAGGCTTCCAAAAGACCCTTCCATCTTCCGTGTGTAGTCGGCGAGGTCGAGACTTTTGGGTTATACCCCTGCCTCTGATCTTTGATCTTAGGTCACATCGGCTCACTTCTTTATCTTCCCAGCTAAACTCTTGTACCATGTAAACTTAATTTTTGACATTGGAAGGACCGGTCGCAGAACTGTGACCTGACAGCATACTATTCTCAACAGCTATTGGTCACGGCAGCAACAATTAGCAGTTGGGACGCTATGTCGAGAGTATCAGTGACTGGGGAAAGTGTATGTGCACAATATTATTCTGTCCCGTTCTTATCCTACCCGTTCGTCTATTCTGGAGGCCGTTGAACAACCTAGTTCACTCACATATACGCTGACCACCCATCCTATCTCAAGACCCCATCACGTCGGCATCTTCCATCATACTACCCAATACGCCACAAACTTGGTATAAACGCAACGGTCCGCTAACTTGAAGCGCCATGTCTGGTGCAACGTTCCAGCAACTTCTTTTCGAGAGACGTAAGCGTGGGCAAGTTTGTTTCTTGACGTTAACAGCAAACATGTTGTTGCCAAACTTCAAGTTGCCGCACAAAGAACCCCCGAGACTGGATACTAGGTAGCTTTACTTGCCCAGGTACTTCTGACATCAGTGCACTGATGAGCTTGTTTCTAAGATACAGGTGAATCGCAAATGGAGAAAATGGAATTTGAGGAGTTGTCATCAACTTCCATCTTGAGCTACAGCTGCCTCAACAAACTTGTATGTTGGTACAAAGTAAACATAAGGTAAAGAGAGGCAGCTGAGAGGCGACTGCTCCCTACCCTGCAACAAACATCAGAGCCATCTATTTTGTCATTTGGCTGGTTAGTGCTTTCCTCTTAAGATACTCAAAGACTTGACTGAGAATTGATGAATTCTGCAGAATGCCTGAAACTATCTTTCCTCCTTCAACTAACATCAACATCATCGTGGTTATCATCACAACTCTCGTTATCACCATATTGGTTACAGTATTCCATCTTCATTGTAGTGCTCCGTCTCGAATGACCGACCAAGCCATCCGCTCGTTGTATACTATTAGCCTTTGAGCTTTTCCTCACTTCCCGAGACCTTGACAATCGGCCAACTTGTCATGGAATCTTGGGACAGCGACTGCCCCAACTGTGATCCATCCGGGTCTATAGCGGGATTGATCGGAGCTCAATTCTGCGCAGCCGTAAGTTTTATCTCACATAGCTCAAGTTTGTTGCAGTTGTTGACATCAGCAGTGCCATACAGTATGGTTGAACGGCAACAACTCTCCTCGAAATAATTAGGAATCAGGGCCCGCGCCATCTTCTTTGAACCCTGGAGCCCCAGAATTTCAACTCCCAGCTTCTTCCACGAGGATTGTCTCTTTGCCTCGGTCGTCAGAGGGAGGCCCAAGCTCTTTGTCAAACACACAGCCTCCGGAAGAGAGACACGCATCTGAAGAGATACAGCCTCCAGAAGAGAGATACGCATCTGAGGAAATACAGTCTCCGGGGGAGAGACATGCATCTGAAGATATAGGGTCTCCAGGGGAGGGGCACGCATCTGAAGAGAGATACGCATCTCAAGAGATACAGTCCCCCAGAAAGAGACACGCATCTGAAGATATAGGGTCTCCAAAAAAGAGGCAGTCACTTTCCCCGTCCTTTTACAAGATTTCTTCATGTGAAAGCAGCAAATCTCCTGAACCAACACACTCAGCCCGAGGAAGCAAGTCTCCTGGAAACATTTCATCACCGGTGACGGCTCCAACACCCGATGTCGTTGCACCCCCTCCTGTGGAGGAAGAAACACATGAGGCTGACTTAGATCAAAACCCACCGGTCTCCCACCAGATCCAGTCTCATGTTTTATTTCCCCCTTTAGTCCCTGATCAGGAGGAGAAGCCCGAGGAGAAGCCCGAGAAGAAGCCGGGACCGACTTGGGCAAAAATTGCTTGAGTCACCACAAAGAAAACAAACCAGTCCTCCGCGAAATTAGACTGGCCCTCCACGAAGCCGAACCAGTCCTCCGAGAACTTGGGTTGGGAGGTAAGCTAGCAAGACCAACCAGCAAAAGAGCCAACAAGGGAGACCAAGGATTTTACCAAGAGATAGAGATATTGAGTCAGTAGCAGCCTGCGTGATAGCGATGTGAGATTTCTGGATTCATGCAGCGAGATAGTCAAATACATTACTTTGTTCTCGGCAGTAAACATCTCTTGTCCTGAGCCATCCCCTCAATCATGCGTTGGCATTACAAGAAGCTGCCAAATTTTCAATATATAACAGTGAGGCGTCTATATTTCGCAGACAGCTTAATAGTCAAAGGTTGATGTAAGTTCGGCTCTTGTGAGACTTGCTTGGTATCTCAACAACCAGCCAATAGACTTGAACACATTAGCATTACCTTACAGGAGGCTGTGAACATTGGCACACTAAACAGCCGTTGTCGGGGATACAAGTGTTTGATATCCATTAACACAACCAGCATGGCTCAAGCTCACAGTAAAAGCACTCAACATCAGTCTTCATTCTTTATGGGGTATCCCTGACGTCCATTTATGTAATTAGCAATGCCGCTCGTAGCTCAATTCCAATCATTCCCGTGTGCCCGACCAACTAAACCTCTATTCTATTCCGTACATCGAAGCGCATACGTTAAGAAATTGGCACTTGGCTGCAGTCATTGCACGTTGTGTATCGAGGCGGCACGATAGCAATACGTTCTCTCATCAAGGTCTGCCTCTAAGACCTCTCATTGTCTTCATGCCACTTCCTTGCGAGTGAACGACGAGGAATCAGGACTTCTGATATCGTCCCCAATATGACTCCCCCAGAGTTTGGTGAGTGACGATCCTACTCTCGCCTTCCCTCTCGTGGTGGTCCGTTACCAGGCCCTCCTCCGCCAAATCTATCGCGGAGCCAGCTAATGGGGCCATGGCTGCTCTGTCGACGTTGTTGATCCGAGTCCGCCGCTGACCGTCGGCTACTCTGAGAAGGGCTTCTCTGTCTCATCCGAGCGCCATGTTCACTCAGGGCAGTCGCTCTAGGACTTGTTGGAGAGTGTGAGCTTCGTCGCTGAAGTCGAGACGTATCGTAGCTAAACCCCGATGTCTCGCCTCGTTCACGCTCGCGTTCACGTTCTCTCTCTTGTTGCCTGTTCGAGATAGTACGCAAAGCTTCATTCAGGCGACTCTGGCTCTGACTCGGAGGTCGCGAGAACCGCATCGGGCGTGTGTGAGAATGAGGGCTGTCGAATGTTGTCCACTGGTTGGGAGTAAACGTGAATGACGCTCGCGTTCCAAACGGATTCGGTTGGTCAGAGTTAGGCCCTGGATTTGGACCTTGGGATTGGTTGCCGTCACCGCTATTGTTATTGTTATTGTTGTTTCCATTGCCGCCATTATTGTTGCCACTGCGATCAGTCTTTTCGATCGGCGTTCGGCAAATGGGGCAAGTGTTGTGCTCCTTCAACCACAAGGTGACACACTCCTCATGAAACCAGTGGTTACAAGGTAAAAATGTGGCCATATCCCCCTCCTTCATCTCATCAATGCAAATGGTACACTCTGCCTTTCCCTCCGAACCCAACATTTGTTTGTCGATAGGTTTTCGTTCCAGATTTTTGAGAGCTTCCTCTGTAGCTGGAGGGGCGGCGTTGGACTGGGGATTGGCCTCCATGAGTCCAGTGATGATCCGATCCAGAGCCTCTTGGGAGTATACTGCATCACCATGCATTGCATTTGCTGGATTCAGAAGATTCAGGATATCCTGCAAGCTTTGAGCCAGACCGGGTGGAGGACCTCCGGCGCCTTCCTCGCCGCCATGATTATGAGCGGGTGGTGGTGGTACAATGTCGCGTAGCATGTTCTGAAAGAAACTGGCACGTTGGTTAGCTCCAATAGTCATGGAAATGGCCGTGACTCGCAAGCCGCCAGGTCGTTCAGCAAGCTGAAATGGGGGTTGTGCATACTCTTGAAATGTTTCGCCTCCTGGGGCACCAGCAGGACCACGGCTTGTTGCATGTATAGGTCCCGAGACGATTGTTACAGAAGTCGTTCCGCCTAATGGCCCTGATGTGAAAGTCGTCCGGTGAATGCGCGGTCCAAAGTTTGGTTCTTGGGGCTGTTCATGTTCTCCAGGGCTCGATGGGAAAGATCCGTTTCCGCCAGGTGCTCGAGGTCCAAATCCGTTAAGCATGTCCCAGAAGCGCTCATAAGTTGGCGCAGTAGCGGGATCATGATGATGTGGGTGGTTCGGACCGTCTCGGACGCTCCGTCGGAACACAAAGCCATGCTGAGCATGCTCATCTATGTCGGCTTCTTCAGGATCTGAATCGTACGGATGATGCTCGGGTGAGGTGGAGGCAGAGGAGTGGTGATCAAAGTCGCGGGGATCGTTTGCGGGATCGATCTGGATATAGTGGTTAGCATTCTGAACAGGAAGTGGCAGCGTGGGAAAGCATACAATCTCTGTGATCTCGCCGTGACATTCGGGACAAGTTAGTCCATTCTCATCTCGATACCATTCCCCAGCGCAGGCGTGGCAATAGACTACCTCACGGCCCGCGGTCGCATCGAGGTGGCCATGCCTCTCGGCATGAGAAGACATCTGCTGCGCTTGGCTGCGTTGATACGCAGTCAAGGCACTCAAACCAAGGCCGACAGCAAGGCCGGCGAGGCGAAAGGCGCGTGAAGCCAGACTGGAAGATAGTTCAAGACGTCGTTGAGGCGAAAGATCGAGGTTGGGTGATGTAGGAGGCCAAGTGTGAGAAGGTCCGCGTGAGGTCAACAGATGTTGAGATTAGTAACACAGGTTGAGTGGTAAAGGGTCGTATGGAGGATTAAAAGAGAAGTAATAAATAAGGAGGAAATGGTCCGGCTCGATCCAGGAACAAGAGCCAAACGAGGTTATCAAGGCGATGAGATAGATATGATCGATGCAAGGTGGTATGCCGTCCGTTGGTTGACGTTTAGTTTAGCTCTTAGGCTGGTGGCGAACAACTTAAGAAGCGACCCGCAAACCAGGCAAGGAACAACGGTGATGCAGTGCCAAGCCAATGGCGAGCTGAGTTAGAATAGACACTGACAGCCAGTGCCCGTATGATCAAAAGCGGTATGAAGCGAGAAAGAAGATCTAGGTAGGGCAAGGTGAGCAAGGTAAGGTAAGGTAGGTAGTAGGTAACGATTGTAGGTGAAGGTGAAGAAGATTGAGGCAGAGGCAGCGCAGCCCAGTAAACCTGGAACACGATCGATACCCGCGGAAGAAGATCGGAGCAGCTGAAAGATGACGAACAGCCTCAGGTTTCCGCACGTAACAGAGACAACATAAGGGAAGGAAAGGGGAGAAAAGTCGGCTTGAAATTAATATTCAATCAAGCAACTTGAAACAATCAAATACTAACAAATCGATCAATATTAAAGAGGGGAAATTGCCTTGACCAACAACGCAAAACAGCCTTGGAGCCTCAATAAGCATAAGCAGCGGAGCACCCTCACGATAGGTTGTGCAAGGGTCCTCTCTACCTACTGTAGAAAGATACCTGGGCCTGGAGCCGGTAGTGACCTCAGTGGCAGCGGCTTAAAGTGGACTCAGGCAGTTTAACCCTGATGCCCCCAAGTACCCCTGGACCTGATATTTGGTACCTGACTGTCTAAGACTGAGGGGACTGCCCGTGAAAGTGTTGGCAGACCGGCTATGGTGGGGGCTGGGTTGGTTTGTCTTTGAATATGCAGCAGTTCGTCTTGAAGAGAACTGATGGCCAATGATTCACAGCCGGCTTGTCCATGGTGCTTCTGTTATTGGTTGTCCTACATAGTATCGGGCAGTCAGTATCTCAGGCAGACTGGACGGGACTGGACTGTTGGGCTATGTCTGAATTGCATTTATCGAGGTAGTAGTTCTGCATCATAATTTAACAAGCTACATATCTTTGTGATTACTTCCCTTATGCCTATCATTAGGGTTCTTGAAAATATATGTATGACCCAAGCTCAATTAGGTGTTTTGTTACAAGCAATGTCTTCTGCCCTGTCTCAGTTGGCACCTTCAACACCTTCAGAGGAACCTCGTGTCAATTGTATTAACTGTTGTGTAGGGTGTGTTACTGAGTCCTTATCATAGCCCTTGTCTTGGTCGCTCTAATAGGAATGTCACGTAGGTTCGGCTGTAGCGGATCACTATCTGCGGTCGTCTGATGCTTTGTGTGAAACCTGTTCCAGCAATGTGGATTTAGTTCAAACTCACTTCAAAAGGACGAGGCTCAAATAGAGGCCTACACGCATCTTCCCAGCATACCTTAAAGTCATCGCAAGCTTGTTGTGAAGAGAATAGTTCCAATATTGTGTGTTCGACTAATGCTTCTTCACGTTAGACGGAAGGCATACTTGGAAAGTCCAGGCATGAATGAGTTCATCTCAATTTCGAAGCACTTTTCGTTCTTCGTACAGCCGTCTAAATACCAGTGTGTATCTGCTTCTCGGCAATTAGACGGCAATGGTAATTCTCATAAGCATATTTAGCAGTGCTCTGATTTGGTCTCAGAAACGAGCATTAACACCCATTTAATAACCCTCTGGTCCGAGAAGCAGCATGTTGGTAAACCAAGGAACAAACTAGAGACTTCTTGGGTCGAAATTTGGCTTCTCATCACTTTGATCCCAGTCGAGATGTTCCAGGGAGCTTCGTGAAATGGAATATTAGCGACCATTATCATCACACCATCATAGACACCAGATATTGATCTTGAATCAGATTGTATTCATCTTGTCGCAGAAATTTGTACACAGTGTCGTTTTATCCAACTCTATTCGCTCTTTGACGCATTTCCCTTGTCCTCCTCATCCCACTGCTTCAACTGTTTCGACCAGCTAAATTCCATGTCAGCACTTTCGCTCAGAACCTTAGCATTTTGGAAACGGATAACATACTGTCGGCTAGCGTACCACTGCCCTTGCTCAGGTCGGTGCGCCCATTGTTCTCGCCCAGCGCTGAACTTCCACGTAACCGCAACGATTCCGGCCATGACGACACCAGCGATCAGGGTGTTGGCGCGCCAGTTCGCAGGCTGCGCGTACCAACCACCGGCTGGAGACCAGACGTGCTTGGGGTAACTGTCGCAGGATGGGTTAGATAGGCAATCGCTTCGCTTTCGGTGCTTCGGTTCGTGAGAGGTAAAACTTACGGGACTTTTCCGCCGCCGCCCTGGGTCAATTGTTAGCACAGACTCACTCCAGTTTGTGGGCTTCACTCACCATTTTGAATAATTGATCAACGGACGTAAAAGAGAGGTTTTAGGAGCGCAATGGCAACGTTGAACTGATGTCAAATGGCCGGTTACCAACAGGTGAGGTCCCAGCTTCCAAGGCTGGCCGGGAGAAACGTAGTGCGGGCCGCCTGTTGTTCCGGCCAAACCACACACCCCAGCTCACACGACTCTCTAGCTTCGTAGCGCAGAACTTTTTACCCGTCGACGACCGAAAAAACAGGCGACAATCTCCAATTCGCTCCGTCGCCTCATCGACGCCTTTTACAAACCGACGGGACATTCGAGAGGGAATTTATTTAGCTCGATGAAGAGGGTACGGATCGATCGATGGGGCGGCCAATTGCTGCAGGCCCAAGCCCGCAGTATCGGTAGCGGTATCTCAAGACAGGCATTTCTACAAACGACTCGACGTCAAGCTTCTACAGCTGCCGCTTCTCAAGCCACCGAAGAAACACCTACATTCGCCAATCTACCATCTCCTTCTCCCGAACGTGCCGCTGAGTCGGCTAAGCTTGCGGCTCTCCACTCCCGGTTATCCCTCTCCAACAAGATCCCTCTGGAAACTCTCGCCCGGGCCCTCATCGTTCCATCAGCCGACAAGAACCCGAGCTTCAACAACGCCAACCTCGCTTTCCTCGGCAGCACATTCATCAATTACCACGTCCTCGAGTTCCTCGTCTGCAAATGGCCTCGTCTACCAATGGCCGTCCTCTACGAAGCCCTCCGCGCCTATTCTGGAAAGGAATCTCTGCATCAAGTAGCTCGCAGGTGGGGTGTTGAAGCCGCTGCTGCTCCCGGCGAGGAGGTCGACCCTGGCCTGTTACAATGGGCACCCCGAGATGCGGATATGCAGTCACGCTGGGGCTCTGTCCGTCAAGAGTCCGCTTTTACCGACCGATTTAAACCCCGACGTGGAATCAGCAGTCGTGTAGTCTACGACAATGCTTTTGGTGACCCTGTGAACGTCGAGAAGATGAGCAGCGAGGAGGGCTATAAGTACTACCAACACGAGGCGTACTCTTCATTTGTCCAAGCCGTTGTTGGTGCTGTTTACACCCACTCTGGTCAAGACGCCGCTCGCGATTTCGTCAAGGCTCACGTGCTTGCTCGACAAGTCGACGTTTCTACCATGTTCGAATTCAAACTACCTACACGAGAACTCTCCATGTTGTGCGCTCGTGAAGGATTTGAGGCACCTATTGCTCGTCTAGAGAGCGAGACAGGTCGACATTCACGAACTCCTGTATTCATTGTTGGTATTTACAGTGGTTCCGAGAAGCTTGGTGAAGGTGGCGGCCCTAGCCTGGATATTGCCAGGTGGAAGGCATCGATGAACGCCCTCAAAGCGTGGTACCTCTACAGCCCCGGCAATAAGGTTCGGGTACCAAGTGATATGTACGAGCCGGATGCTAAGCGCTGGAAGGCCCCTCATATCGATATTGGTGAGGTCATCTAAACAAGAAATGTCGTGGTGTTGGATATATATGTACTCAGAGCGGCGTATCAGGCGTCGGCTCTTCATGTGGATAATGAGCAATTTTCGCCCCGGTTGGGCTGTGTATAAAAATTACATGGGAGCATAGGATCCTAGAGGATCGGGATGGGAAACGTCACTGTAAGATACAATGTAACACAATGACAAAACTCAACAAAGTAAGAGTCAGAATCAATTTTTTACATTACACTGCGTCCCTGACGCCTGCACGGGTATACTAGATACATGGTTCTATAAGTCAAATGATTATTCTGCCAGTAATGTTGAAATCACAGGCTCAACTGAAATGATCGCCTTCACCCAGACGGATGCCTTCGCCTCTCCTCATACGAGATCGATAGCGATCCTGGCGTTGGGCCTTTTCTGCTTCCTCGCGAAGCTTCTTCTTGCGCTGATACACTGCGCGGATGGTATCTCGGATCTGCTGCTTTCCCTCGTCATAGTTTGCTCGAGCCAACGCAGTGACATTATCAATCTGTTCAGGGGTATAGATGAAGTTCCATGTGCTCAGGTAATCGGTAGTTCCGGGAGAAATACCAGGAACCTTGTCGTTGGAAATGAAAGGCAAGTAGACAACAGCAATGCCAGCATCAGGCTCCATGAGTTGCCATGATGTCTCGTCCGAGATTGCTTTTGAGGGAGGGGGTGGCTCAGTACTGCGTTCTGTGTTGGTCCCAACCCAGACAGTGCAGTAGCCCAAATCGCCGGACTCTTGATCACCAGGCTCGAATTTGGTCTTGTCATTCTCTGCCATAACTTGCTTGCCCTCTTCGTGAGCTTCTTGGCGAAGCTCATCCTGTTCTTTTTTGGCTTCGCGAAGTTTAGCCTCAGCTTCACGAGTGGATTTCGCCTGTGCCTCGTCTAGCTCTTCTACGACCTGGGATGTAGCTTCTCCAGGCTTGGGCCAGCCAATGCCAACGGGCCAGCCCTTGACACCACGTTGACGGGCGTAGCCATCGGCGACTGAGAGCCAGTTGTCGGTTTTGATGTCTGCAGAGGCATCAAAGGCAACAAGAACGTCCACATCTCTGCCCGGTCGCAGGAGGGGGTAAATAGGCAAGTTGTTGGACATTCCAGCATCCATAAGTTGAATATACTCGTTGTCATAAATACTGGTCGGCGTGGTTTCCGGTAATTTTCCGTGCATTCCGTAGGCAAAGTTGGGTATTTTGGCAGGATCAATAGGATGCACTTTGACCAAGTCATCGTCTCGTGTCGAGATGAGTTCATCAATAGTCCCGAAACCAGTCAAGCCCTGGACAAGTGGCTTGATCTCTCGGTAATAATGACTGAGTGTTGCACAGAATGCGCTACCAAAGATGCCCATGAGGAGTGGTAATCGAAGTTCAGGGAGATGGAAGCCATCCTCAGGAGGAACATCACATCCCTGGTTGAATCTGCGGCCTAGAGCCCAGGTGGGGATACCGGCACCGAACTCTTCACAAAAGAATTCGTAGGGTGTGATCTCATACCACTGAAACCAAGCCTCCTTCTTGGCTTTCTCTTTGGCGAGCTCGGCTTCGATAGGCCCTTGTTCAGCAGCCTCTGGCAAGTCAGGAATCTCGTGTCTCACAGCAGTATAGATGGGCATCGGTAACTGCCCGTATTGGACATATTGGCGTTGGTTTGAAAGCTTAAAGTCGCGATCGTTGACCCCAAGGTCTCCTTTCGGCACTAGATACCGAGCTGCCAGTAAGACACCATACACATCAACGAGACCAAAATCTGCCTTGGGATCACCCTTGAGCTTCTCGACCATGCCACTCAGGAGGTATTTATTAGTGGGCATAGAAGCAAGAGATTGGAAGGCCACGGGTGGGTAGGCGATATGGGTTGAGGCCCTAGCTTTGAGGTGTTCGAGAAGGTTACGAATGTTTCCCTTGTTGAACGATGTAAGGCTCAGAGCCTGAAGCCAGCATGAGCCGCTCACGCCTGAGGTGTATGTGACGCAGTCAAACAACCCATCTTCTTCTGTGGCAAGAATTGATCCAGTTCCAGCAATAAGTGCTCTCAGACCTCCACCAGAGCCGCACATGGCGATTGTTGGAACATCATCTGGATGGACATCCTCCTCCTTGAGTCCGAGATATTTAGCCAGTCCTATTCTGGCGACTCGTTTTCGTCGGGACAAAAATTCCTTCTCCTCATCGCAAAGATTTGGTGAAACTCGAACTTTGGCTGAATATCGAATCTCGGGATTAATCAGAGGGTCGTGGGCGTCTTGCCAAATCTCGTCGGCCAGAGACCCTGGGGACATGGACAGTTCACGTTGAAGTTTCCGAACGTAACCCGGGATAAGTCTGGACCACTCAGGGAGGAGATAACTAACGACCTTGTCGGAGAAGGAAGAGAATTGAACATCGTTGAGCTTACAGAACATCTCGAAGCGGCGAGCAAAGTTTATCCAGGCCGACTGATCCGTATCTGATTCTCCATCCTGAGTCTTGTCTTGTTTCTCGTCCTTTGGAGAGTCCTCATGGGTTCGCTGCCTTGATTGTTTACCGGAAAGCTGTGCAAAGTCGTCAGAAGGGTAGAGCCACCAGATAAAAAGCCCGCCGGTAATTACTGCTACTGGAAACGTCGATTTTTGCTGTGCTTCTTGCTTGGCACCGTTCTTGGATGGAGATGTCCAGAGATGGCGGTGTTGACGATGCGATAATCTTCGTCGTGGGATACGCTGGTGGGTATTGAGTCTTGTAGTGACTCTATTGAGGCTCTTGAGAGAGCCGCGGTAGTGTCTCATGGTTTTGGGTGCAATTGGGTTTTGTCGAGAATTTTATTATCATAGTTGGACAGCGCACAGCACATGCTTTCAGTGGCTGGAAGCCTAAACTCAGTGCATTGTCGCAAGACAGATAGAGGAATGTTGGGTAGATTTTTGAAAGAGAGTATAGAATCGAAATTGTAGATTGAACCGCGAGATTAGGTAGACACCTCGGCAGGTATCCGAAGGAGTTGGTGCCTGGATGCTGGGGGTTTTATATGACACTGCCTTACGTTGCGCAACTTGTTGAGAATAGCTCTTGCAAGATGGCTGATGTCATTCCCAAGTTCCGTCCTGCAAAAGTGGGATGTGGGGTCTACGAATGCAAAACTAGAGGGGTACTCGAGAGCTGAATATGAGTCTCGACCATTCCAAAGTATTTCTCTATCACGCGAGGAGGTCACAAGTACATCGGGGCAGACGGACGCTCCCGCATCATGCCACGGATCAAGCAAGAGAATCGAAAACTCTCGGTTATTGTATCAAGATGTTGTAACTTTTGCGGTTCCATTCGGAGGTTTTCTCTCTGTTTGGCATGTGGTATTCTTTTTATCTGTGCCACGGATCTTCAGGTCCGCTTTCAACTTGGATGGTCAAAAAGCTTGGTTCCGAGCCAAGGAGACAAGACAAGGCCCAATCGGGTTACAGCTGACCGTCAACTCGTGCAATCGTTTTTAAAAGAGCTTATTGCCAGGTTTCTTTGTGGTAGGGTAACTCGATTTTGGGGAATAGTCGTCGATACTCGATCTCTAGATCAACCGCTCTGCTCTGATACAGTTACAGAACTTGATAACTCGGATCGAAGAATTGTTACAGAGGCTATGTCTGATTTGATCGATTGAGAGACTTGCTCTTAAATAGTCTAAGTTCATAATATATTTGTCGAATTACAAGTTTGATCTCAAGTTGTCATCGTCATGATACAAGATAAACTCTCGACTTCCCCTTCACCTTGATCAGGGAAATGGAACACTCACAGCACTACTTCACTAAAACGATGGAGGGAGCGGCAGGAAAGTGGGGTCATCCGCGGTGGGGGGAAATGGAAGAGAGAGTAGCGGACCTCCAACGCCAAAAAAGGCGGGCGGTGAAATCGCAAAGCTAAGGCTAGTGAGAGATGGGCCTTTCGATGGTTTTTTTTCAAGGTGATTTTTTCCTCGCGCCGGCAGAATCAATCAATCGCATTTTTTTTACTCTTCTTCAATTGAATCTGTTTTATACAAACAAAAATTCATCAATTGTGTAACCTCGAGTTAATTATTTCTATCAAGGTAAGCTTCATTGAACAGGCAACAGTCACACCGATGACTCGCTTTTTTTCAACCCCGCCACCATCTTTTTCGTTTTCGCGACCTTTTCTCACTTCGCTTCTAGTTTCTTTCCTCTTTATCCTACCACTCAACACTTCTTAGCCTGCGACCGTGAAAAAGTCGCGATCGCGCATCGTTCCCAGTTATCAAATAACGGTCGAAACTCACAATGAGCGAAGCTGAAGCCCCCAAGCCTGTCGAGGCTGTCCAGCCTGAGGCCGAGGTTCCTACCACCCAGCCCACAGAAGAGAAGGTTGAGGAGAAGACAGAGCAGAAGGCAGAGGAGTCCACAGAAAAGTCTGAGGATAACTCTGAAGAGAAGAAGGAGATTCTCAAGACCACAGCCAAGCATGATGACGAAAACCCTCGCAACAACCGCAAATTCGACCCTTCAACCCGTGAGGTCACTGATGACCCTGAGGCCATCCGCAAGCAGGTATGTATAGCTTCATCTATCTTTCGTTGTCGCGCGTGGGTGTACTTACTCCCCTAGGTCGAGTTCTACTTTGGCGACTGGAACTTCCCTCAAGACAAGTTCATGTGGGAGTCATGCGGCGGAAGCGAAAACAAGCCCATGAAGGTCAAGACTATCCACTCCTTTAAGCGTATGCGAACTTTCCAGCCCTACAGTGCCGTCATCGCTGCTCTCAAGGACAGCAAGTTCCTTGAGCTTTCCGGCGAGGAGGGTGAGGAGGTCGTCAAGCGCAAGACCCCCTACCAGCCCATGAACGCCTCCAAGTCCAAGGTCGAAGCCGCCACCGTTTACGTCAAGGGCTTCGGCGATGAGGCCCCCAACACCCAATTCGATCTCGAGAGCTTCTTCGCTCAGTTTGGCGAGGTCAAGGGCCTTAAGCTCCGACGCACAAACGAGGGTCTCTTCAAGGGCTCCGTGTTCGTCACCTTCGCCGACGAGGATGAGGCGAACAAGTTCATCAAGATTGACCCCAAGCCTAAGTGGAAGGACCACGATCTCAAGATCATGAGCAAGCGAGCTTACTGCGACGAGAAGAACGACCTCATCCGACAAGGGAAGATTGAGCCTAACCAGAGCAACCCCCGCAAGTTTTATGAGGGTAGGGAGACAGGCAAGGGTGGACGTGGACGAGGTGGAAAGGATTCTCGTGGCCGTGGCCAGGACGACTGGAAGCAGCGACGCGAGAACGACCAGAAGAACGGTTTCAAGGACCGACGAGGTGGACGCGGCGGCCGAGGAGGTCGTGGTCGAGGCCGTGGCCGTGGTGGACGCGATGGTGGACGTGACCGCGATCAGTCCAAGGATGAGGTCAAGCACAGCAGCAATGAGTAAGCCGCCCTATCCATTATGCAGAGAGGCATTTGCTAACATACTACACAGCACCACCCCTCGCATCCAGTCCACCGCCGACGAGTCTGCCGATAACAAGAAGCGAAGCCGCGATGAGGATGCTCCCTCCGGCGAGCCTGCTGCCAAGAAGGTCGACGTCAAGGCCGAGTAGGTCAAGATCAAGATGGAATTAGAATCGCTCATCTGAACCGAGGAGGAAAATGGAACCAAGGAACGACCAACATCATTTAGGCTGATACCATATATTGAACAAAAAAGGGGAGTTTCAAAAACTACGAAGTTTTGTGAAAGGGAGACGAAGCGGCAACCGCTACAACTGTATTATGGGATCTTTTTACGGAGCAACCAGGTGCTTTGCTGTCCTTTCCTATTGTCTATCACGGGTCTATAGATGGCTAGTGGCATTTGACAGAGATTATAAAGCAAGTGATACTATTCGCAAGTGACGTTTTCTCCATTATCGCGGCTCACGTTCGTTTTCTCTATATGGTCCCCCTCTTTCTAAGAAAACACCCCATTATACCTCATGGCGGCTCTAAACAGAGTAATCCAGCTTCTTATCGCCAAGGACACCCCAGAACTCTTCGATAAGCTCCTTCTGGCCACTTGGTGCTCCTCGCACAGCAAGATATACGCGCGCCTCAAGCTCAGGATCCCAATTGCCCGGGTTTCCATGTACCATGCGACCACCAGCCTCATTGAGGATCGCCCATCCAGCACAAACATCCCACGCCCAGCATCCACCCTCCCAGTACAAGTCAACCTGTCCCGCGGCCACAGCAGCAATGTTCAGCGCAGCAGAGCCCATCGACCGCAACGAGTGAACCATTGATCCGCCATTCTCAGGAGTCGCTGTGAGCTTTCGGAATGCTTCGACCTTGATGTCGAAGTTGGGTCCGTCACGTTGCGCTCCCCATTCAACAGCGACGAGAGAACTGCCGAGGCCCTCGATGGGTCGCGGTGAGCGTGCGAGAGGGAGACGGCGAGGTTCTTTTCCACGACCGTGTGTGAGGAAGGCGCCGCGGCCCTTGATAGCGGTGTAGAGAGTGTCGAGCCATGGGTTGTAGATGACGCCAATGGCGGGCTGACGATCGATTGCGAGACCGAGAGAGATACAGGCGCTGGGGAATGAGTGCACGAAGTTGGTTGTTCCATCGATTGGGTCGACAACGAAAGTTGGCTCAGAGCCAAGTCTCACTCCAGGCTTGTATGTCTCTTCACCCATGAAGGAGATTGAGGGGAATGATGAGGAGAGGCGGGTTGAGACCATCTTTTCAACGCCCTTGTCTGCTTCGGTAACAATGTCGACGGCTGCAATTATGTCAGCTACAAAACATATCATGGACAGAACATGATCGTACAGTTGAGCTTGGTGTCGGTGTCGAGCTCAGCAGGATTGGCAGCCAAGATCATGGCTCCGGCCTCGTAGGCCACTGAGACGAGCTCATCATGAACAGCTTGAAGATCGATATCAGCCATTGTGTATAATTTCCTTCTTGTTGTTGACTGAACAAGATAAGATGGTGTTATGATGAAGTGGAGGAACAGATTTATGGAGGGGTTCTCAATGATTTGGCGGGGCAGCAGCTCAAGCTGACGTCTGTGAGGGGCCGAAAGCCGGGGCCGGTCAGAACAGACCATCCGGAGCTTCCTAACATCGCAGTGATACTCAATGAACAGGGGACAAATAGCAGGTTGGGCTTGTGCTGTGCTTCAATTGGACACATGGCATTTCTCAACCAAATCTAGGGATAGAAACGCCGTGAATTGAGTGTTAAATCACTATCGACAAGAGTGGTACAAGACTTCCGTAAACTACCAAATTGAACGAATCCTCGCAGCACATACACAATGTCATGATATATCAGAATTCCACCCAGCCAAGTCCAGGCTCTGCATGAACCACAGGTTCCCAAGCCCAGTAAATAAGAGAGAAAGAAGGAAAGGCAAACATAGCAAAATTCGCAGACAATCCATAATCGCGCAGCTTTTGTCTCGTCTCCCACAACATACTCGACTCTTTCAGCTCATGTCTCGTCTTACATGTTCTCCCTAAACACAGACCGTCGCTCTGTCGGACTGCTCTCGGCGCTGCCGCTTCTGTTCTTGGGTTTCGCAACTCCCGTGTCGATAGGTCGAGGGCTCACGCCGCGCAAACTTGAACCAGCATCGTCATCGAACGGGTTTCGTCCTCCAGGTCCCGATGCAGGACTTCTGCTCGCCCTACGGCCCCGATCTTCCTCCTCGTCGAAACCTCGGCCACCCGACAATCCCGGCGTCGCCGCGAGGTTCATGTTGTAACCACCGCCGTATCCGGTGTCCCGGCCGCGACCACCAACGTCCTCTTCATAGTATCCATATTGGTCTGCTTCGTTTCCAACGCGCGAGTCCCACGCTTCATCAGGGTCGAGCGGACCGAAGCCGCGACGGCCGCGGGCACCGCCGGATTGCTCGTAAGCGCCTGCGGCGGATCGGTTGTTGCGGTTCTTGAATTTGCGAATCTTGTCGTTGAACCAGCCAGCGATGCCGCTAGGGGCGGGTTGTATTCCATAGCCGCTGTCTTCTTTATGCCATGGTAGATACGAGGCGAGACTTGGAGGGGGAAGCTGTAGGAGATAGGGTATTAGTTTGATTGACAGGATTGGGAGCGAAGGAATTGACATACGCCAAGTCTGCGAGCACGAAGCTGTGTGAATACAACCCATCCAACAGCTCCTGCAACGAGCAGGACGATAATGGCGATTACGATACCTCCTGCCGTCGACACCATTTTTCTGTGATCCCGCTTCTGTGTGTCCCAAGGGATTTGCGATGCGATCAGTCGCGTGTTGACGAAAGACGAGATAGTGAGACAGATGCTGGTCGGGCGCAAATCGCAACGATTGCGTTATCTATCTTGGTATTTGAATAGTAATAATCCGCCGTGGGAAGGAGAAGATACAATGAAGGGTTATTTTCGCAAGTGAGATTTGGTGTCCTTTGTTTGACTTTGGCTTGTCTTGTTCGGATGAGGTGGCGGTGCTTCGTCCAAGCTCCTACAGTGCAAGTGCAGTATGAAGATGTCACTGACTGGGCTTCAATTGAGATGTAATGGACGCTGGAGGACTGGACGGGAAAATCTTAGGGCGGTCCACTTCTGTCAGTGTCCACGGACTAGGATTGCTTACAGTGAGCTTGGCGCTGATGCCGGCTCTGAATTTAGTATCAGTGGCCCGCTGTAGTGGAGAAAGGCGTTTAAGTCCCTGCAGAGTTCCATATCCAATTCCCTGAGAAGTCTCAACCTTCAATTGCAACATCCAATGCTTACATTCACATATCCATGTCAATTAGACTTCTTTCCAAGATTAACCATCGTGAAAATGATTTAACTGTTCTGGTGAGTCCTGCTTATAGCTTCCTCCTATCTCATTAAATAATTAGCATCTTATTTCAGCCTCGTATTCCTCATCCGAGCAAATCCGCTCCCTTGCATCCGAGTCTATTTCAGTCCATTACAACGGCTACCAGCCTCTTGGAATAACAAAAAACATGCAATTAACCGCTCTGTATATCTAACTCTTCCTAAGGGTTTATCCCTTGATACCGCACTTGTTCCAATGCCCTCCCTGCCTCGCAAACGACAAGCTCACCACGAAATCCTCCAGCCTACACCGTCCATACTCATCTCCTCCGCAACTCTCCATCTCCATAACTCTATCATTTATCAATACTCTCACATATTCGTCTCCCTTCTCTTCATTTGTAGCGCCGCACTCAAGCTTCTCTACATACATACGCGCAGCAAAGGGGACTACCCATGCTGATGAGTAGCCATGTGCTCGGATAGCTGGCACGATATGATGTTTCGGCAGCTTGCTTGTCGAGTTGTACAGACCCATTGCTGAGAAAATAGACACCATGGTGTTGTCATGGCTGAAGTCTGCATATAGCGCCCTGTCCAGGGGAAATGTCTCAGGATTGCCGTCCAACGTGCGATTGGTTGTGGTGCGGTCATCAACAGGCTTCCTCGTCAATCGAGAAACAAGCTCGTTGACATATCCTACGCCCTGTGTCGGTCCCATTGCGTTGCCATTACCGTATTCGTAGTATTTGCCCAGAGTCATGTAGTAATCGTAGCTTCGCCAATCTTCTATGGAGAAAAGGTCGCAGAAACGGGATTGTCCTACACCATCAGGAGTGTTGACTGTGTTGAAAGGGCACAGATCCATGAGATAGATCGTCTCCTGTAGCGACAGTTTGGCTTTGTGCAGATTCCTGTTGAGTCTATCCCGAATAGGAGGCAGGAATTTGTTTCCCCAGGCGGTCTGCGCACTGTTGTCGCCAACCTCATCATTGTCCTCGAACGAGCTACATGTTCCATGTGACAGTGTGTTGTTGATACCGGGCTCCTCGGGAATTACAAGAATGTCATCGGTGTAGTCATATCCAGACTCTCCTCGAGAGGCATAGAAACCTTGTGTGAAGTTGTGAGACGACATGATAACTCTGTCGGATCCTGATGCCCTGATGAAAGGCTCCGTCTTTTCAGCGAGTCCGATGTATCGCTCATAAAAAGCCTTTCCAGAATCAATCATCTGGTCTTGACCAAAATCGGTCAGATCCTCAGATCCGAGGTTGTATTCGTAGTCACTGAGCCATTCGTAGCCCTTGCCATAGTTGGTCACTGATTTCTGGAGGCGGGCAATGGTGGCGCTGTATGCTGTAGTCTTGCCGGCGGTTGGATATCGAGCTCCATGACGAGACAGGGCGATTCCTATGGTGACCTCGCAATCATCTGGTGTTGATGAATCAACCTCTGATGGGACAGAGAAGAAGGAAGAATACTGTCCCCAGAGCTTGGAAATGTCATTGCAGCTTCCGTCATACTCACATCCAGATGACAGTGTGCTTGCAGATGTTAGTTTGGGGTCAAATATGAGAATCGGATGAGGGTGCTCACTTGTTGTGAACCCAAATAGCGAGTACGGTGATCAATGCAACTGTGCTGATTACCATGACAAGGTAGCTCCATCGTCGGGTCTCTCGACGCTTATGCTCTGTATGCCAGTTCTCAAGTCGCTCGGCGTCCGCATAGCTCTCTTCAGCTTCATCATCATTTCCAGAGAGTAGTCGCCCTCTCTCAGCATCGGCATCAGATGCATCTGAGCGATTCGCCTCTGAGGGCGCGTCGTCGCGCGGAATTCGAACCATTTCTACTGCTTCGGTTATCTTGACAGGGATGTTGTAGATGTTTATGAGAGCCAATAGCTCCCTGTGAGGGCGATAAGGTTAAATCAGCAACGACTGATGCGAATAAACACGCAAAGTTTGAGGTATTGAGCTACTAGCAGCTCTTTCTTTGATAGCCTTGCGCTTTGATCGCATTTGTTGGCTGGGAATAGTGTTGATTAAGCTGAGCTGAGTATCCCTGAATGTTGGAGGTTCAAAGACACTTCACTTCACTTCAGGTGAGAGTGGGCCACGTGCATGGTTATGAGGCTGACAAATGAGGCACCATTAGCCACATGCCGATGTCTTCAGCAGCTGTTACAGTGATTGCGCTCAGTCGTGAATCAGTGAAACAGTGATACATGATTCAGAAGAGGAATAAACACGATAGTAAGAATTAGGTAATTAAACTTCCTTCAACATAATGATTTGGTTTGGTGTTGGTGCTATTATTAGATCTTACCAGTACCCTAATGTTCAGTGATGAAGGCGACAAATGAAGTGGAAAGTATCGAATGGAATATGCCGCTCTAGGCGGAATACATTTTAGCTGTATCATGCAGATCTCAAGATAACATCTCTGCTCCTATACCTCCAACCTCTATCGTTTAACATGGATATAAATTTTAGAGCAAACCTGCCGCCCAGAAACCAGTTCTTTAATCCAAACCCAATTCCCAAATATTTTATCCCATTACCATAGCATTTCAAATACCCAAAGACCTTGCCACGTAGTCTAGCTACATTGCAATAAGCCGTAGTACGAATGGTATCATCAAGTGTATAAGTCATAAAAACGTTGAAGAGAAAACGCGGGGTATAAGCCAAAATATCCAATCATTCCTTCACATTGCAACACCGACACTCCTCCTTTGAGGTCGGGTATCGTTTCTGCCAAACGTTGAAGTGGCGAACCGTGAGATGAGGGGCTCATCCTGTGACACAGCAGCTGTGCTACCCACAGAGCATGTTGTCGGGACTGTGCGGTTCTCGTCATCCGATTCCCACGTACTGACCGTATCGACTGACTCTGTGCTCCGCCGATGTTCTGATGCTCCGCCCAGCGAAACTTGGTAAAATCCTTGGTTGCCCCTGATAGGACGAGGAGCGTTGGTGACAGAGTCGAAACTCATGTTACGGTTGTGCTGTGACCCGGGGAAGAGCCAGCTCGACACCCGGGAAAAAGACTTCTTCTTCCTCAGAGGAGGTCGAAGTACTAAAGGTAGAGGTGGCGGTGGGGGCATATCATCTCGCCTGGGGCGAGAAGGAGGGGTAGAAGGTGACCTTTGCTCACCAGGAGTTCGGGATCTTCGAGGTGGTGTGATAGGAGTTCTCACAGGCGTACGAGGCGACCTGATGGGTGCTGTGTGTGGCCTTTCAATGATATCAGAGTTGAGGCGCTGGGCAAAAGAAGGAGCTGCTGGGGGAAGAGCCGGAATTGACGGCATGGGCTCCAGGTCTGAAGTCGGCGGGAGCGGTTCGTCACCAGGCCCGTAGATCGAGCTCATACCGGGCATGGTTCGGGCGACCGAGTGGGGAGTTGGTGGTCGACTAGGAACATAAAGACTCTGTCTCTCGATGACATCGTCAATCTGCTTCTGGAGTTTTTCAACCTCTAGCATAGCACTCGCAACTCGTTCCTTGACCTTTTCCACATCTGGCGAGCTATACGCACGAGGACGACCCGGTGACTTGGGGGGGATCAAAGGCGGGATCTCATCTTCTCCATGAGAGGAACTAGGAGCACTTCCCAGAGCTTGGCGACGTGGAAAGTGGAATGACATGGGAGAATCTGAAAAGCTCTTCTGATGCTCTAATGAAGGTTTCACTTCTTCGGGTTGGCTATCCGAGACACAGTCAGAATAGTCTGATGAGGGGGCCGGGTTCGCAGGCCTTGGTTCAAAGTGAGGCATGATAGGAGATACACCATTGTCGGACTGATAGATGCTCAACTCGAGCGGGCGGTAAGGGCGATGAGGTAACTGTTTCGCAGGTCGAAGATTCGAAGCTCTCGATGGCGTAGGTTCAGGATAATCAAGAAATGGATCGGCAGCAGTTGATACATGGCGGAAGTCTGAAGGGGCTGAAATGAGCGGCCGGCGCGAACTTGGAGAGAGTGACCAGAATCTCCTTCTCTTTGACGAGACACTGTCTCTTGTAGACCTCTCCGACATTTTACGATGCTCCGGCATTGCAACAGGCTGGGGATGGTGAATTGGTTGGTCGTATATTACTGGATATGAACGCTTCTCATCGACTTGGCCTATCAGCAACTGGTCGTCGCTCAACCTGCCTACGGGCCACGAAATGTTCAAAGTTGAAGATGAATCCGAGGCCCAAGTATTGGCAGTGTGGGCAGAGGTAGAAGTAGACATAGACTTACTACGACGCGGCCTCCTGTCCTCTGAGGAGACCAGCGGTGCGCAGCAGAGAGATAGCCACGATGGCCAAGAAGCTCCTTCAGAGCCATGGGCACCGTGAGAACCGGCGTGTGTCATGCTGCGAAGCTCTCACGTCATACCGAGAAGGCGTATAGAACGTTGGGGGAGAAGAGAATGGCGGGGAGAAGAACGAACGATTCGTTACTCAACGAAGTAAAAGAAAAATGGCAGAGAAGCTGAAAGACGGATCAACGTATGGAGATAAGGTGGGATATGAGTGTGTATGTAAGTATGTATGTACAGTACACTCCTTCGTATATGTAAGCCAGCACCAGTACTAGCACCTGCAGAAGAGGAGTGTGGTTGATGAAAGAGAGGAATGGGATAGGACAAGAAGTGAAGCAAGACGGGAAAGCTGCAGGAGGAGGACCAGGGACCCGGCAGATAAAAGAACAAGAGAAGCAAACAGCGGCAAGCAACTTGTAATGCAGCCCAGCCCATCTCGTGGATGACGGCCGGGCTGCGACGTTCCCATGGTAGTATATCCACACCCACAGAGGCAACAAACGACAGTATTGGCACCCATGCCCCTACGAGTCTGTAGTGGGATCTGGGTTAGTTTCAAGCCCCATTACGATCGAATTTTAAAAAATTAAATAAGAAAAAAATGGGCGGCAGCCAAGGGAGATGCAAGACGACGTATCGAGTGGTTGACGATTGTCCAAGACGAACCCACGGTGCAGGTGATGGACCGGGGTCGGTTGTCTCGCCGGACCAGTCGGCGCTTAGAAGACGGTCCTGACGGACTCCCGATCATGTTAGCGCTCCACACCAACTCTGTCAAAACACCACAGAGACACATTGACTGGGCCACACGTAGTGCCCGAGATGGTGTCGCTGTTGCCCTTGGCTTAAGTCTAGAGAGTCGAGTCAAGTCGATGTCGTGCATTTGGTTCCACTCCATTCCACTTCCAACTCGCCCTTTGGCTGGTCGTGGATCTTTCCATTGACTTTTTGGTCTGCTTGTCCTTGCCACAAAAGACCCCAGACGAGGTCTCGTGCTGCTACCTTATTGGATAGCCGCATGAGATGACGGGGTTTGAGGCCTTTGCCTGTGTTCGAGGCTGTGTGTCGTCACGCTGCGCATTTCTCACATTCTCTTGTCGAACTGGTGTGAACTTGGGTCTTGGCGAAGGCGTCGTCAAAACATGAGTTCCATACCCAAGCTATCATATCACCTTGAACAAGAGACGTTCTTCGTCAGACGTTGTACAGAGCGCATGTTCAAACAACAAAGGTCATAGCTCTTAGCCCTGCTCTCTTCGGATAAACGCACAACAGAACCTTGCCTCGCTTGCTGGCTCCTAGTGCAAATCTTAGCCTTGTCGACTCTGTTTGTCTTCATTGAATCGACATCTGACGTTGCATCCATACATCGTATTTGGGGTTGCACCGCCGGTTTGGGCAATACCCTGGTCCTGCCGGGCTGATTGGTAGATGCACCCCGGAACTTGGCCTCTTCATCATCTCTTCTCCATCAAATCGGTATGCTGCACGTTTTGTTACTCTTCGACCTTGCGACTGACAACCGTGTTTGTCTGTGAGCTGTGAAATGCTAGGGTCTCTTGAAACGTGGGAGCTTCAGGAACGCCTGTCAATCTGCCTCTCATCGAATCCGGATGCTCCTTTGGGCCAGGTTTGTTATTACTTGGCCAAAGAATTGGTCGCTACATCCTAAAACAGCCGTGAATGATGTTTCATGGCACCCAGAATAGTGATGAGCACGAGGCCATTGTGATGACCCGTATTCTGGCGTGAGCTGACGCGATACGATTCGCCTGCCTTGAAATCTTGAGACAAAATGACTAAACGATGACAGTCCCGAAATTTTAATATTTGGCGCTGGTAGACCAGAACGGCTGAAATGCATTGCTTGGCCCTTCAGCGGCATCTGACAATAAGCGGCCATACTACGTTGATAACAGTGTCGTATTGCAATTGCCTCTTCATCTCTCAGCCGGAGAAACAATGCACAGCCCTGCTTTTGTCTCAGTAAGAGTCACCAAAACCACTAAACACCAACAAACAAGGTGGGATGGCTTCATTTGTGGGGTCAATAGGAAGTGTGCCAGAAAAGGATTGTTAGGGCACCTCGGTTTAGAGAGACAAAGGGTCAAACCGTGCAGCTGGGTCGGTGTCAAGCCTGATCGACAGCCGGACCGCTCCCTGTTGCTGCTGCAAACATCCATGGTTGTTAGCTTAGTAGGGAGTCACGTAGTGTTTGCTTTTGGTGCCCTGCGAGCGAAATTCCGTTACGCTTCCTTCCGCTACCTTGTCGTCAGATGAAAGGTGATACCCCTGACTTTGCCATTCCTTGGTTCTTAAAATAGCGACTCTTAAGTTGAAGTATGGGTGGCTTTGCAACCTTGGCTTGGCTAGCTTTTGGCAGGGATGCATCCAGAAGCTCGTCAGAGGTTCCCCTTAGGTTGTATCCAGTATGATGAAAAGATTTAGGCAAGTTTAGTGTAATGTTAGAGGGCCTTTACATTGGCCATTTTTGTCACTAAGGATAAAGGCCCTGAGTTTTCTTGCCTGCCCTAGAGGGGTTCTGAAGATAATGGAGACAAAAGCCGATTCACATGCGATGTTGTGTTCTCCATCAAGCACAAAATAGCAGGTGATGGATGTTCTAGTGGCGATCTTCAGTCATTCTGACTGATGTTTTTTTTTATAGCACTGCACAAGGCGCAATAATCAGTTCGGAGGGCAACCTGTCTCAGTCTTGACTTCGGGAATGGCTGTAGAAAAAGACGGAGGATCCTCTCATGTCTATTTTCCTTGTTTCTTGCGCAGTTAGCTCCTTCCACTCTGCAACGGCGGATGCAACGGGAGTGGCGCATTTGACTTCACGATGTGGGATCGATGCGGCCTCGTCGTTTTTGTGAGTGGAGTTGTTGAACTCGTTCGACTCAGTTGACTCGTTCTGTGTGGGAAGAGTAGCAGTCGATTAGAGGTCGATGGCGATGATTATCTTCAGCTAAGGTTGATTCCAAGGCAATGTTGTAATATGCAATGTAACCAAGTCATGGCTTTACTTATCGACTACTCCAAGGAAATGTTGAATGCATTGGAAGAACGAATGCAAGTTGCTGAGAACAGCAAGCAAAGATCCACTCAACATGCAAACCTCCTCTTGATTCAGGGAACCATCTGGTCTCCCTCGCAATGCCTCTGCCGTCCCAACGTCCAGACAAGTTCCTTTGCGCTATGGCGTGTACCTTGAGCTTTTGAACAGCTCAAAGTCCAGTCTCTCAAAGTACAACAGCCACAACACGAAGGAACATATCTGGTGGCCAAACAGCACCACAGATGATGGCGACTTAAGTGTTGTCAATTGAAATATTGTTATTCCATGTCTAGATTCGCGAGGTTCCGTGTTATTAATCCCGAGACTAGAAGAAGCTTGAGATTGGCAGATAAGCTTCAACAACGCCGGGTAATAGATCTACCGACCGTGCTCCACACTGTTGGTCCCTGGTTCCGAATCTGGCAGGCGGGACAGCGGTCACGCGTGGCAGAACGCCAAAAGTCAAGTAAATTCATGGATTAGAGATCTAGATTGCGACAAGCTCCGAGGTCGTCAAAATGGGCAAACGAGACTTCAATAGCGGAGATGGCGCTGCCGCTTTTCGCAAGCGCCAGAAAGTCGTACACGAGGCGCCAACAAGCGAAGAAGTTACCTCGAGCGATCAATTGCGCAATCTCCTGTCCTTCGACCAGGATTTGCGCAACGCCAGGCATGGTAAGTGACGATGTTGTTGAAGGCACCAACGAACTTGATCTGATACATACTCCTCTAGGCCTTCAATCTTTCAAGAATCTCCTCGATCAAATAGTTCACGAAGAGGTTGACCGAAGAGCAAACCTCGACATTCTAAATCAATACCTTGAAGCCGTCAAGCCCAGAGATACATCCGAAGATGCAGTCTTTCTCAACGATATCATGGAAATGTGGTCCTTCGCCGTGCAGGTTAACAACGACGGTGTCATGTCATCTGTTGCCGTGGTCCTGGCTTTACTACTCCAGATCCTCTCAGGCTCACTACAACTTGTCAAGCATGGCCTCGGTATCTGCCAGACCCTTCTGCAAGAGCAGCAACTGAAATCATTGGCAAAGAATCTGTCAGCAGAAAAGAGCAAAGGTTTTATCATCTCGCCTACTCTCCGTCTCCTTCGAGAAGCTACATGCCTAGACGGAGGCTCCTATGCGAAGCGAATCTTCCGCGCTCGAAATTTCACATTGACATCGCTTGGACGAAATCTTGAAATTGGGCATATCGGAGATACGCAGGAAGACGTGCGCAAAGCTTCCGTCAGGACAAATGCTGTCCGTTTTTTTCTGAGCCTTCTCAAGTTCTTGGGTTCAGATGGACGTAAAGAACTTGTATCCCAGAAGGAACTTTTGTCCCATGTGACTTATATGATCAAAAGCGACCCTGCCTACCTCGTTGTGGATATTCTCGACTCTTTAAAGCTCTATCTTCTCAAGGATGACAAGATCCCCAGGGAAGTCAAATTCCGATGCTTCAACACCAAGTCGTTGGTACGCTTCTTGGCTTTATACACATACACTAGCGATGGCGAAGATGTCAATGAGAAGTCAACGGTGAGCTACAAGGCCCATCAACTCCTCATCTACATCTGCACGACGCCTACTGCTGGTATTCTATATCCTTCCACTGGTCTATACCCTAAAGAGTCTGAAGACGACCCAACGCCAAGTGGGCGTGCGAAGGCTGGTACACGGGGTGCTCTCTTCGCCGACAAATACAAACAAGACATTCCTGTGTATAACTTTGTCCTTGCCGAATTCGCTCAAAAGTTGCGGCCTTGGTCCAGTTTGAAACATAGCGAGCTTCTGGTAGCAATCTTCACCGCTGCCCCTGAACTTACTGCAAAATATTTCCTAAGCAACCGATCTTTCACGTTCGAACCAAAGTTATCCATGACATGGATTGGATATGCCGCGTTCCTCTTTAACACTATGCAACTTCCTCTCCCTCCTCGCTTCGGAGACCGATCGCGATCTGCCAAGGCACCTCCTCCCACGTCCATCCTTCTCGACAACATTATTCCTCTCCCCATCAATCAAAAAGTCCTGATCCGATGTCTTTCCTCCAAATCCAACCTCACATCTTTCTTTGCTACCCGCATTCTGATCGTGGCAGTCGAGAAGTTAGCTGAAGCTCTCAAGATGCATGAAGAGGTTTCAAAGGGCAATGATCCTGTCTGGGCAGAAGCTAGCCGTCGTTTAATCGATGCGTTTTGCCAACGTATTCCTGACATGAAAGAAATCGTTCGGTCTTATAAGGGAATACCAGCTGAGAACATTCTCCATAAGGTCATGGCCAGTCGTTTGCTACGCCTTTACTATGAAGTCATTCCACAAGTTGCCCTTGCTGCCAACTTTGATGTTTCGCCTTTTTTCACAGAAGTTCTCAAGTCGCTCAACAAGGAAAGCGAGCAGCATGAGGACGAGTCACTGAGAGTCATGGAGCTCGAAAACTTGGTATCAATTGCCAGTTATTCCCCCGGTATGCGTTGGTTCTCAAGGATAGACAATCTCATCGATGGAGCAGGATCGTCGCCATACACTGCCCTCCTGCGGCTGCTTTGTGATAAGAAGCGAGATCTTCCTTTCCAGCAGCTGAAGAAGGTTCTAGGCGAGGTCGCAGTTGAGAACCAGATGGTGACGAAGGCGTCCCTGATGAGCCCCCTATTTGAGGCTCTCCAGACAATACTGGCCGATGCCAAGGCAAAGCCAATGGAGAAGGTTTGGTCATATGTTGACAACTGCATCAACCGATGTGCCTCCTCGCCAATCAAGTATCTCGATTTGTTAGAAACATATGCCCAGGAAGATGGTGTATCATCTGGTAGTGAGACTGCTTTGGTTAACGTGACCCTGGTAGAGCAGTTGTCATTCGCAATGGGCTCTGCTAACAGCGATGAGCAAGCTGCGCTTGGCCAGTTCCTGTCTTGCTACTTCTCTACTTCATACAAGTTCAAGCCAGGAAAACAACTCACCAAAGCTCTATACAAACGCATCTTGGAACAGTTTTCATCAAGCAAGGTCAAGATGAAGAAGCTCAAGGAGGAAAAGTCTGATGATGCAGATGCTGATGAAGATATGGCTGATGCCGACACAGTTGATGTGAATGGTTCAAAAGATGGCTCGACCATTGATTCTTCAAAGCTCGAGGCTATGCTGCATGTACCACTGCCCGAAGACGAGGATACCACAGCTTTGACAAAATGGGCTGGCAAAAACGCAGAAGACCTCGTTGAAGATGGCTGGGCAGCAGCTTTGATCCGCCTCCTCTCCTCTCCCCATACCAACATCCGCAAAGAATCCCTCACCAGCATTCTCAAGATGGCTGCCAAGCTCAAGGAATCTTCCTACGAAGAAAAGGAACAAGTTTGGCTCCTCTTGTGCGAACTTGCCGAGTCATCGCGGGATCAAGTTGACAAGGGCCCAGTCCCCTCTGCCTTCACTGCCTTCGCCATCCAAGCTCTGGATGTCCTGAAGAATCCGCTGCACCCGCTCTACCCCAAAATCAACAGCTTTCTCACACGCAGCCCCGTCTGGTCTGCTGACAAGCTTCCCCTCGCCCACGACATTCTTCACGGTGAACCCTCAGAAGATGATAAGTATTACACCGAAATCACATGGCTTCTCACCTACCTCCTTGACAGCTTGCGCACACCCTCCGATCTTAGCATCTTTCATCGCAAGCGCTGGTTCGAGAAGATACTCGCTCTCGGTGCCAACCCTTACTTACGTATCAATTTACGCACTCGTTTGCTACGTCTATTGTATCGCGCGACTTGCATCGAAGGCGGTAGCACCACGCTGACGACTCGCTTCGGCATTCTCAGCTGGCTGGACTCGCAACGGGCTGCTTTTGAGGGAGGTGAAGAGGCGGATGTCACGATTGCACTCATGAGAAGGGTATGGGAGACATGTGATCAAGAAAAGGTCAAGGTCTGGAGTAAGGGAGGCGTCGAGAAGTTACTTGCCATGCATGATTTATAGAGATGAGTAGATTGGATATATAAGCTAGACACATTTATACATACGACTGTTAATACCCAGCATTTTAAGACCACGAAGACTTCCGTTTATCAAGGAAACGAAAATCTCCTGTTAGGCACTCAAATGCTCGCGATATGTCCAGTTGACTTCAAACATCACTTGAGAAATTCATGGAGTCAATTTTATCACTGAAACATCAAATTTGTTCAAATTTGTTCGTACATATATGTACAGATCCCACCCATCTACCAAACAAAAACCAGAACGGACACCATAACGATTGACAAAATATATATATGCCCGTCGACACAAAAGATACTCTCCCTCGCTAACTACCCCACGCATTAATATGGATAAGAGCAGCCTTTTCGTTCTGCCGTTAACAAAAATGTTGAGTTTTTAATTTCCCATCCAAAATTCGCCGTTGTAAAATATGAACGCATCTCCAAAATAGATATAAACAAGATTATCGCAAGGCTGCATGGGCATTATAACGACCGTCTCAATAGATACATGCTGAGTCTAAACAGTCTACAATTGGCCAGAAAGCAGGGCTTCAGTTGCTGAGAAATTGTTAGCTTGAGATCGAATAAATGAGTTAGAGAGTAAAGACTTACCAGAGTTGATGTAGGCCCTCTTCGCGTCTAGGGGAACATTAAATCGCCTCTCCAGCTCTTGCTTGATGCCCTTCTTGGTGACAGTCATCAAGTCAGCTGTCTTGAGGATGTCACGAATCTCAGCGAGGAGGGCGTCATCACTAGGCATGCCAACCAGGTCCTCGGGAGAGAAGAACTGTGAGCCACCAAACTGGCTCGCACGGTTGCCAGGCATCTCAGAATGGGCCAGAGACATGCGAGACATGTTCTGGTGGCCGAAGCCAGCTGTTGAGCCGGGGCGGCTGGGCTGGTAACCACCACCGTACTCAGAGAAGGGTCCTTGAGCCTTGGTGGCATAACTGTAACCAGAGATCTCTGATCGCACATCGTCACGGGCTGTCTGGGTCTGTGTCTCCCAGAGCTCGGCTTGGTACTCCTCCCACTTCTTGCGAGGGATCGAGTTGGGATCAAACTTGCCCTCGTCTGAAACAACGATCTTCTTACCGGCTTCACCAGCAATAACACGAGTGTTACCCCAGTTGAAGTCATCCATGTGCCAGAAGGAGTACAGGGGCAGACCGAAAGAGAAGACAGGAATGGCAGCAATGTACATGATCATCCAACCAACCATCTCCCACTTGCGTCGGAGGATGAAGATGACAGCCTGCAGACCGTAGATGGCACCGAGCAACAGGAAAGCTGTAATGGGCACAACTGACGGGTTGGTAGCGACCTGGTAAATCAGGTAGACAATATACATGACAATGACAGGCTGGACGATAGTGCTCAGAAGATCGATGAAGACGACAAAACGCATACTGAAACAGCAGAAACCGCAAAGCTGGGCCAAGGGAATAAGCTCAGCCAAATTGTGCACAGTAGAGTTGATCCAGCGACGTCGCTGAGACAGGAAGACAGACCAAGAGTCAGGGGCAATAGTCCAGGCCTGTGCGCTGAAGAGGTACTTCGTCTTGTACTTGGAGTGGTACTTGAGGAGCAAGGTTGTGAGATATCGATCCTCACCAAGATGGAGCAGGTTCTTCATGTGCAGAGTATCAACACGAATCGTGGAGTAGTCTTCAACGATCTCCTTGCTGACGAACAAAGGCTTACCAGTCTCCGCAGCGCGAATTCGGTACATAGAGAAACAACCAGGCAAACAAGTGACTGAGCCGAACAAACTCTCGAAGGCCTTGGACAAGTTGTGTGAAATCCAGTACTCGTAGACCTGAATCATAGTGATGAAAGAGCCCTTGGCGTTGGTGAGAGCGGTTTCACCACAGCAAGCAATCAGGCGAGTATCATCGATGAAGGCTGAAATCATTCGAGTAGCTGAGTCCGCAGCGACGACAGTATCGGCATCAATTTGGAAGAGATATTCGTAGAAGGTTGGGTTGACACCAATAATGTTGCGGATCTGGTGATACATCTCAAGCTCCATGGGACTCATGGCAAGGTTGTAGTGGACGCGGTTGAGGAAACGCATGAGAACCATCTGGGAGTCTCGCTTACCACGGTTACCGGGGCGAGAGACCTCAGAAGGCTTGCCAACCTTGACAATGACCATGAAGGGAACGATGTGGCCTTGGACTTCGTAAAGACCCGAGTAGATCTTACCCATGTTGTGCTGCTTCATACCCTCACCGAGAGACTCAAAGCTGAGAGGCTCGGGATCGACAGTCTCTGAGACACCAAGAATATCCAGCACGATGCGAGGCGTAGGCCTGTCGTTACCCTGACCGATAATCATACCGTCACAGACAACGACGAGAAGCTTACGCTTATCATCATACTTCATGCGAGAAAGCGAGTCGATAGCACGACGCAACGAGTCTTCATCTTCGGTATAAGCGGGAATCATACACATGACGAACTTGTCGAGGTTCTCAGGCACGTTCTTGCCACCGAATTGGAGCGCAGCAAGGAACTTGAAGACCAGGATAGATGCGAGCATGACTGAAATAGCCAAGATGAAGTATGTAGCGAACTGACAGCGGGTGGAGTTTCGAGTATCTGAGTCACCAATGTAGAAGAGGTTGTTCAGGCAGGTCTCCATGCGTTGTTTCTTGACAGGGCTAAGCTTGATGTTATCCCAGTACTTGGAAACGTCTTGGCCCTTTGCGCTTCGGAATAGCTGGACAACGCTGTCCTCCATGAAGTCTGTGGCACCTGGGATGTTGGGAGTAGGCTTGCCAGCCTTGGCCTTCAAACGGAGACCACCCTGGAGGTACTTGGTCATGTCGTAAACCTTTCCGTGGATAGTGACAACGTTCCAAGAGCTATCTCGGGCCAGCTTCTTGACATACTTAGGGCTGTAACCCATTCGTCCCTTGAGGTAGACATGCTTGAAGGTGTACATCTGCTCGAAGTACCAATCAGGTCGGCTGTCATTGGTGAAATAACGGAAATCGTGGTAGACAGAGTTGACATCAATATCTCTGGAGGCAAGAAGCTGGGGCTGACCAGTGATATTGGTGTTTCGGTTGTCGAGAGTAACCTCAGGAGGGATCTGACCATCTTTGCCCTGGCACAGAGCAGACACTTGGATGGGGAAAAGAGCGCTGATATCCTTGCCGGCATAGTTCAAGAGAGTATCCTCGCTGACGAGGTTGCTGCCAGGATAATGGTTGGGAATGAAGGCATTGAGGTCAATAACGAAACCGCGGATAGCAACGTAGGCGCCCTTGCTGCCCTTGTCACCGTCGTAGGAAGAGAGTTCGTTGGAGCTGTAGACATACTGCTTGGGGCAAATGAGCATAGGGAATCCGACCATGAAGAAGGCGGCGACAGCACACATCAACCAAATGAGCATGTTGATCGCCACCTTTTCTCTCCAGGCCATACGAACATCCTTTCGAGGCATACGTCCGATCAGTCTGATGGCAAAATCGGGGATGAACCAAGTGAGGAAGAAGACGAGAGCCACCCAACGCTTGCGGCTAGGCTTATCTCTATACTCCTCAACCTCCTCGAGAGACTTCTCATTGCCTCGCTCAGCCATCTGCTCGCGTGTGTCGAGGTTCTTGAACATGTCACCGCCACCAAAGGCAGAAACACCAGCCTCGGATCGAGTGTCATCAGTGAAGTAACCACCCTTGGCCTTCTCACCGTACATGAGAGGGGTGTTGCCACCAGAAACCAAATGTTCCTTGGAGGCACCGAAAGCCATAGACTCAGCAGGTGTGAGACCATCACCAGCATCTGATGAAGGCAAGCCGCCGTAGCGACCAGAAACTGACACTGCCTCGCCAAGCTGGGCAATCTCCATCCAGCAGCGTTCGCTAAGGAAGACACCAGTGGCACCGACTCTGACTTCATTCTGGGGCCACTGCTTCTCTTCAATGACCATCTCAGCACGCTCTCGTTCACTGCCGACCAAGATTGTCTCCGCGTCTGTCATACCCAGAAACTCGCCGAAAGGCAAGAACAAACTGAAATCAGCAGATCGAAGACGCTGGCTGATTTCTGCAATACCGAAAGTTTGGACCTGCATACGAACGCACTTGCTGTCGAACTGGTTCGCAATTCGTCGATCGTTGGGCTTCAAGCAAAAGACGAAGTATGAGTTGGTGCCAGGGTCAGTGACAGCCTTCTGGACATTGTCCAGGGAGGCAAGGAACTGGCCTGAAGCACCTTGCTCGAGAGTCATCTTGGCGTTCTTCTTAGACTCTCCAGCCTGGCTCTGCTGATCTAACTCCTCCATGGCCTCTTGCTGCTGGCGCTTGTAAGCTGTGCTAGGACGACCAGTTCGATGCGTCTTTCGAGACATGACACTAGGCGCTCGCATAGGCTTTGAGCTGACGGTAGCCTGCATAACGGTAGTGCGTTCATTGGGGTGAGTGACAGTCTGGAGAGCATCTTGACCGAAAAGGCGGGCAACAAACTCGCTCTTAGTGCCGTTAATCATGTTGAGGAGATCGCCAGAGATGATCTCGCCGTTCTCTTCGATGAGACCCTTGACGGGGTAATCAACCTCACCAGCAAAGTGCTTGACGGTGAAGACAGCAGATGTGTTCTCAGTCATGAAGTTGCTTCCAGGAAGCTTAGCTTGGGCAGAGCCGACCTCGATAGCAGCGTTCTTGCCATCGAAACGTCTTCGAAGAGCCTCAAGGAATTGCATATCTGTTCGGTTTCGTCGAGTTTGGTCATCGAGAATGCTAAGAAGACCGTTGCCGGGCTTCAAGATGCCTCGAACAGCGTCCGAGTTATCGAAATAGCTGGTCGCAGCAACGCTGACTTCCTCAGACTCCAGCATATCAGCCTTGCGGTCGAAGAAGTTCTGGAGAGTAAGGTTGTAAATGCACTCGGTAGCAGCATTGTTGAGAAGTTGGTCGAGCGCAGAGCCAGTGGGAGTTTGCTGGCAGAAACCGGGGAAATCGACGATCGAGACGGTGTTGGCAATGGACTCCTCGGGAGCACAAAGTCGCTGGTTAATGGTCTCAAGAATCCAAGCCACAAGAAGAGAGTAAAGTGTTCGGGCAAGCTCTCCGGCGTGAGCACGAGCACCGTTAGGGTCGAGCATAACAGTAACACGTTCTCGGTGGATCATCTTGGTCTTGTAGCCCAAAGTGGTCTGGAGGTCAGCGGCGCTGACACCAAGGAAAGCAGCGATGATGCTGAGAACATCCTTGTTCTTGACAGCAGTAATGGTTGTACCACCCTCGTGAGAGAAACCACCACTATCATCGCCAGTGACGCTGGTCTGGCTAGTTGTCTCAAACTCTAGTTGACCAATGTGAAGAATACTGGCGAGGATTTGGCATATCTCGGCAATTTCGGCGCGAGGAAACTCGAGCTTTCGTAGAGCATTCTTGAAAACTTGGAAACCCTCTGCATCGTTGATTCCAACCTTGAGCTGAGTAGGATGGCCAAGATACTTCCATCGCTTTTGAGTGGTTCCAGTGGCAGAACCACCGTCCAAGCCGAGATGAGATTTTTCAGCCTCGCTTGTTCCGGCAAGAAGATAGTAAAGAACGTGGAAGTTACGCTCTCCTGTGGGAACATCGGCGATACGGCTACGCTCCAGACGATGATCCAAGAGCTTACCACCAATCAGAACAGGGTTTGTTGTGGCTGAAGTATCGTACTGCAACTCGTAGAAGAGACCGGACTTGGAAGCAGTGGGTGTTGTGGCAGTCTTGGTAGTTGTGAGACTATCAAAGACATATGCGGCGAGAGAGAGCTTTGTGGACAGAGGCGTCGATGATTTGTTGAGAAGAGCAGTCAGGAGGTGGGCTCGAATAGTAGACTTTCCAGCGCCAGATTCACCCCTGAATAAGGATATTAGTAAACTTTGGTTTCAACTCTCCGGCTTTTAGCATCATAGACTTACAAAAACACAACGGCTTGGTTCTCGGATCTGTGTCCTAATCGCAGAAAAGCTCTGTCAGCGATTTCCTCGGCGCCAGCCATGGCGCTCCCCTCCTTGCCGCCATCGGGACCCTTTGAGGAGTTGGTATAGGTGTTGAGAGAGATGAGAGCGTGAGAAGACAGTCGGGCGGTAGGATGCGAGACATGGAAGCGACTGGCGAGATGAGCAGTGAGATGCGTATCGGATTGAAGATGTGCTGGCAACGATGGCAAAGAGGGTTGAGTGTGAGGGCCTCCTGCGCCGCCGAGCTGTGGGAGGCTCATAGCCATGATGGACAAGCAGCCAGCGAGTGGCTCTCGAAGGTTATAACGACTCGGTAGATTTGGGTTTCAGCAGAAAGGCTGTTGTTGAGAATTGGGTTATTAAGGAGTTGATGTCGTCGTCGATGATTTCGATCGTATTATCGTTTAGGTTGGTTGTTCAACAGTCAAACAGGCACTCAGAGCGAGGGTTTAGAATGCTAGTAGACAAAACGAGCGTCGAATAAAAACAATAATAAAGATTAAAAAAGGGAAGAAGAGCCAGGCTCCGGAAACAGAAGCCTTCACCAGAACGATTGGACTTGGACTGGCAGTGGTAACTCTACTTGCCAAGGTAAAGGAAAGGTATTAACACCAACAAAAACAACCTGGGCTCGGCTGGGAAAAGGGATTGTTTTCTTGGGACTGGACTGAAATGGATTGGACTGGACTGGACTGGCCACATGCAAGTCTCCTCTCTTCGTACACGACAGGGAGAGTGCTCTACTCTCTACACGGTAAAAAGGTGGGATTGTCGGTACGGCAGACCACCAACACCACTAATGCAGCTCCGGGCATAGCGCAAGCCCCCCTTTGGCCTTGAATAATTTCTATGTTTGGATTCTGTCCTACAGCCACGGCATAAAAATGGACGCCATACGAGGTTTTTCCCTGCCCATAGCCACACGGCACTCCCGGAAAGCTCCAACATCTTCCCCCTGGATCTATCTCTGTCTCTTTTGTTTTTTGCCTCTGTTTTCGCCTCGCCTCGTCTGGCTCTTGGCAGTATTTGGTGAGAGTGAGACTTTGAAGCGTCATTAGTAATAAATAATGCATGGTAGATGATGATAGCCCTGTGAGCGATGTGCTTAATGACCTCAACCATTAGATCAAAACATTCAGTCACAAAGCGAGATGTAAACATTGGTCTTCTTGAATCATTTGAAGCAATTCGGCACTTCAGCTGAAGTCTGCGATGAGTGGCATTTCTTTGCATTAAAAACCACTCAGGAGTACATTCAAGTGCCAATTAAAGTTCGCGCATTTCCTCATACATGGGAATTAACGGTTTCTGAAACTGCACTTGCGGACAACTAATTGAATTTTTCAACCATGATGAGATCGAATGCCACAATTTTAATAAAAGACCTGGTGGTGGCTCAGGGCTCTGTCCATCTCATCTAGCTTATTAATTACACGCCACAAACGGTCAGCCATGACAATTATAACTGAGACCATGTCTTGTAATAAGCATTCCTCTCAGCTTCTTGTTGAAATCCGTCCCGTCTGTCAGCGGAGGACCCAAAGTCCAGTTGTTTTGTTGATGACTGCATCATCCATCAGGAGACGGACAGATGGACTAATAACGGTAGCTCTCTCTATAGTAGACCCCTAAAAAAGAAACCCCTTGTCAACTCTGACCCAGTAACCAACCAGTTGTTCCTCAAATGGCATCCCCTAATGCTAGACTAACCCGCACAGACAGGGACGACACAGCGGGTCATACAAAAGGCTTGTTTACTTTTATGCTCCATTTTATGTCCCGTACTGTGTGAATACCAATTCATGGCCTCTGTCTCTCTCTGGAGTCTGGTTTTGTGTTGCAAGGCTTGAGACATGTTTCTGCTTCAACTTCGGCTTCCCTGATGTTGAGAGCTAGATGACCAATTGACTGGTGCTCGGGTCATTGAAGATGTTGGCGGCCCCAGTTCCGTCTCATCATGATGGCGACTTTTATAGGGATTTCCAAGACAATTTGAAGGGATCGAGACATGAGCAAAAGTCTGGGCAAGACAGCATGTGGCCAATATCTTTTAAAATCGTCATTTCAGGACCCTCTACCCTACGCCATCGACAAGCAAGTAAAGAATGCAATTCCAGTGATGATGAACGCCATTAACAATCTCTCTTGTGGTATTCTCAGGGGTGTTCAAACTCCACCAGCAACATTTCAGGCTCACCTTGCCTTGTGTCAACTGAACCAGGGAGTGTTGTCGCTCTCTACTGGGGTCAAGACGGCTCCAGTGATCGATCCTACCACGCGGCCTTCTGGAATGTGTGAACGACGATACTAGCCCGCAACAATTCCCTGTAATTGTTATTTTAGGAGCGGGAGTCGATTGATGAGCGTCATGTGGAGGAGGCACAATCATCATCAAGGAGGGCAGCCTGTCTTTGTTCGTCATGACTATAAGATCACGAGGCTTCAAATATTATTTGTTGTTCTCGTTTACGCGACATCCATGCCAGAGTTCGTTCAATTTTGCGAAGCGTGAGTGGATGGGAGGCGTGCGCTGTCAGCACATCTGAGACATCCTTACTGGCTGATCTGCGAGATGATATGAGGCGGAGGAAAAGCAAATGGCTTCAGACTCCAGTGCTGACTTCGGCCTAGACCTTAGCCTGTCCCAGCTGCGGATCACTTTTGCTGTCAGCGAGCATTACCGTTAGAACTAACGAGAACCACTGCGAAACTCCCGTCGAAGCCTACGTTACTGCTGACTACCTTGGCTACTTTATGGATTACGGCGTTTACCATACGCGCCATGAGCGCCCGGCTGGTCACGGGTGTGGCAGATGTTAGCAAACGTTACAAATTTGTCTTGTGGTAACCGCGGATCGAGCTGGAGAGAAGAGCCTGGAAAGCAACGGTTACATGTAGATCTGCGATGGTCATAGTCTCCTGAAATTAGGACCACAACCAGATAAGATCTTCGGATAATACGATCTTTCGATCCGGTTGACGTCTGTCTTGATCAGACCATGCTGAGCCTGTGAGAGTGCAACCACAGGCGAGGAGAAATTATGGGTTGTGTAACGCCCGCGTAGGGATATTATTCAGACCGTCATGGATGTAAAAGCATATCATGACACTTTCAAGAGACACTGCTGATGTTGAGCTTCACATGCACAAACGAAGGATCACAACACGACATAGCCTCTGTGCTTCTTATAGATCACCAAGACACACTTAACAAGATGCATCCATCCATCCTCCATCATACGAAGTCTTGCATGTTGTGCATCGCGAGACTCAGGACGGACGCGTAGTCAATGCAGGCGAATGAATATGCACTTTGTCCTAACGTCCGTCACCCAAAGACTGGCCACCCCCACAGACCGGCCACCTCACTTTTAACCCAGCCACCCAATTTATATATACTTTAAACAGTCACAACTCTACCAATTTAATTCCAATTAATTTCAAACTAACGCCAATCAATTCAGAATGCCTTCTTTTACTGAAAAAGATATGAGCGCCGCTCTCCAGATGGTTGCAGAGGGTATGTCAGTGAATAAAGCAGCC